ACATTCTGGACATCAACATACTGCTTACTTGAGCTAAAAGTAGCACATTCAGCATTGGAGTAAGCAGCTAGCGAGGCAAAAACAGCTCACATAGAATACTCCGAAGTCGTTGACAGATACCATACCACAATGAAGCTCCTTTGCAACTTCAATACACAGGTCCTGATGAGGTCCAAAGACGCTGGCGCCAAGTCCGTACCGTGTTCCATTCGCGATAGTGATCGCTTCGTCAATATCATCATATCGAATTAGGAGCGCAATCGGGGCGAACACTTCATTGATAGAAGTCAACGTCAACAGCTCGAAACACACAATACAACAGCACCTACATTCCACCTGTGCAATTCTCGAGTTGGGCTTGGCATCACCCACCACCGTTGCCTGGAAGTATGATTTCCCGTCACACGATGTATGCAGGAGCTCCTTCCCGCCGACATCGACTCTTGCACCATCTTCCTGTGCCTGGAATACTAGTTCCTCGAGCACATTAAACCGGTCGTTACTGATCATAGAGCCACAATCCACGGTGTTGATGTAGCCCTCGCGTGTAGGCGCCAGCACGGACCCAAAGCGCAACTTGGCGACGCGGTCCGTCAGGATATCGTACAATTCATCGTGTTGGTCCGAGTGTACAATGAGACGCTCAATACCGATGCAGTTCTGACCCGAGTTTTGGCTGGCATATCAATTAGTTGGAAACATTGTCGAGTAAACACGCATAAAGCTCACAATACACCACGCATCCAAATACTAGACCATTTGTGGAGGTCCGTGTCTGGTAAAATGATAGCGGGGTCCTTCCCGCCAAGCTCGAGGGTAACGGGTGTCAGGTGTTCAGTGGCAGCCATGGCGACCTGCGGAGAAGTTAAAAACAATTCAAATAGCCTCTGCAATGATCAATTCACCTTTCTTCCGACTTCCTCTGAGCCAATGAAAGTGATATGCTTAATAAGAGGCGACATGGTCAATGCCTCGGCCTGATCAGGCCAGCAGCAGACAGTCTGAAATTCGGTTAGTATTGTGGTACCAAATTTGATCCTACCATACCTGCACAATATCAGCGTCGTATCCGAGAACCTCTAGGCACTTATGAATAGCACCAACAAACCATTCCGTAGACCAAATAACGTGTTCAGATGCCTTGAGTACGATAGCGTTCCCGGCAAAGATAGATGCGATGATTGGTGACCAAGCATTATGAAGAGCTACAATCAGATCAGCCACTTTATCAATTACATTACTGAAGAGACACCAACGGTAGTTCCATGATACGATAGCAGACACGACGCCTTTCGGCTCGTAAATAACCTGTGACTTCTTGTAACTCATCATCAAATTCGAATATCTCGTTTCCGTTCGTAGAGCGCGTTCTCCATGGTTGATCAACCACTCCAACTTTGAGCATGTCGTCAATATCTCGCCCAAAGCCGCGTCAACCACTACAAGAAACCATCTCGATAACGGCAGAAAATGATACAAAAATAACTCACTCGTCTTTCCTGAGTCGCGGCACGCGACCCGCGCGCATAACTCCTGGTTCTCCACGAGCCACTTTAGTAAGCTGCGCATGACGCGCCTCCGCTCACCAAATGATGTCTCACACCACTTAACTTGGGCATTTTTCGCGCGTTTGATCTTGGCCTCGATTGACCGTGCGTCATCCGCGAGAACGGAAGTGAGGTGCAGGTTGCTGGCGGGGTCAAAACACGTGATATAATCGCGTCCACCTCCTCCAAATTGGAGAGGAAGGAGGTCGGGCATCTGGATATGCGAGCGGAGGTTGGCATTGGGTATCACGCGAGAGTGCCAGTTAGGGTCTGCTGCCTGTCAACGAGAGGAGTGAGTTTCATGAAGATCATTCGTAAGTAAAATACGAAACAGACACACCTCTGGAGCAGGGTGGCGGAAAGGCACTGCGCTGTTGACCGCTTTCTGGTATCTGTCAAATACCAGCCATATACCAAATGCTGAAAACGTGGTGAAGAGGTATAATACATCAACGATGCTGGCATTCGGATCGTCTTCGAGCCATAAGTTGAGCGTGTTCAGCGGATGGAATAAGACATAGAAGAGTGAGTGCATTTCTACGACGATAGCCCAGAGCCAAGAAGAATCCAAAAACCCAAACCAACGCGTTCGAAATATAAAGACAAAAAAGGCAGATCCTCCATCTTAACAACACGTCGGTAAGCTGTCACGTGATGTCACACACAAGTGCCCGCAAGAAAAAGATCTGCCACAAACTGGAATATAATATAAACAGCGACCTATAGGTCTCCAGGAAAATTACATTAGCTGAAATCGCAGAGCAACACTGATAATGATTTGTAGTTACGTATGGGTATATCAGACAAAAAATTGCAATGCAATGCAACGAGTGGATGTGTAGGAGTAAAAGTCAGGGTAAAAGAAGTAACAAAAGGGTAGTAATAGAACTCGAACAACACACTCGCGCAGCTGTAGTGAACATAAGCATTAAGCAAACTATGTCCGTCGAACAAGTCAAAAATGCGAATCCGTGGTGTGTAGGTCGCGTGGTGGTCATATTATCTCTTTGATGCTACTGCTCGAGTCCTTTTTCCGTTTGCCCTCGCCAATGTTAGCAATCTTCTTCAGCGACGACAAGCTCGGCTTGCTCTTCTCATGAATTTTGTCCTTCTTCGGAGGAGAGCCGCCCGGTCCTGAAGAAGTCACAGACACAACATTTGTTGCTGGGCCGGAAACAGCATCGTCTGTGGGATTGGTATCTAAAATACCAGAGGAGCCTCCACCGCCGACTAACCGAATAGTCGTGTTAGGTTCTTGAGCATCCTCTTGCGACGGCCGCGAGGTAATAATGGGCTCTGATAATCTAGGAGCCTCTAGTTCTATCACCACATTGGTGGGAGTCGAGGGTTGCAGTGGAACTGCATTCATAGCAGGAGCCGAGTCAGCAAGGAGGTCGGTGACGTTTTCTACAGAAGGGGGTGGCGTCTCTATATGCACGTCGTCTGCCGTAGAAATAACCTGTTCGACAAGAGTCTCCACTTTCGCAGGAGGAGAATGTCTAGGAGGAACTTTAACGATTACCACGTCTGTTGGTATTACCCGCATGCCGAGCCCACGGCCCGCTTCAAGATCCTCGTTAGACGAGCGTAGTGAATCTGGCGGCGAGGGGAGAGAGACGACATCGTTGACAGTCGGTAAGTCTACGGGCAACGGAACTGGGGGTTTAGTGATGGAGATAGCGGGAACAGGTGGCTGTGGTATAACATCGGTAGGTTCTTCTGTGAGCTTCAAGTCCGTAAAAACGGGTATAGGAACAATTGCGTCAGAGTCAGCGAGGTTCAAAACGCCGAGACCATGCCTCTCCCGTGCCTATAATCAATATGTTAACCGTAGAATTCACCAATAAGAGTAACAATGCGTACCTTGCCTTTCTTCTCATCCAGTGACGGAGCATCGTGGATCAAACCTGATTCATACCATTTCTTAACACTCCGGTCAGCCCATGCCTCCATCGGATTCAATCCTCTATACTCTCCGATGAGCCGCAGTCCCCCCGACCCGGCCTCCCCACCACCGTCACCTTGCCCCCGCCCGCTTCCATCAAAGAAGTATGCCTCATATCCTAAACCATCCTCACTGCCTTCACTCTCTCCTGCCTGGCCCAGCTCAAAGCCCTCGCCGCTCTCTAATTCATCAACGAAATTTGCGAGCCACCGCGCCCACCCACCAGGCCCATCCCCATGCCAAAGCACTATCTTCGTGTCAAACTCGCGCCCAAAGACGATTACCTGACCCACGGCGCCGGCCTTGTCAGGGTTGAGGTCAACGCCGATATAGTTGCCTGCCTTATCTACGACGAGTGGGATCCAACCACGCTGCGAGTATTCTTTCCGCACATAGCCGTCGGGTATGGACCGCATGATATCGCGCAGACGTGGATTACTTCCCTGTCTGAGGGTCATCATCGACTTCGCGCCAAAACCGCCATTCCTCAAGGACAGTTTCGAGGGGGAGCAACGAGAGGCCAAAGAAGAGACCATCTGAGCACCCCGCTGACGATTCTGCTTCTTGTCCGTCCACGACAAGATATGACTCCCTTACCGCCTGCGGTAGTGCAAAACCAAATTGCATCTCAATTTGTGCGAGGTCCTGTGGAAGAATTCCGTAGTTGAGAGTATCGCCTAGTTCTGGGTATTCACGAGCCAGCCATAGTTTTAGGCGATTCCAGGTATTTTCTAGTGGAGGGTAAGGCGGCGGTGGGGTTGTTGAATCTACAAAGGGGGTATGATGAAGAGGAAGGAGTGAAGCTGGTCGCGAGCGAGAGCTGGAGGGTTAACGAAGGTTAGTTAATTGAATTGAAAACAGAGTAGGAATGGACGAACGAAGTCGGTACATAACCGTATGTAGAAATTGGGGATTGTGGTGGATATGTATATGTTGGACTGAGTGGTCCCGGTGTTTGAAGAGCCGCTGGATTGAAAGCATCTGGATGTCGCCCATGACCCGATGACGAAGTTGGGAGTGAGAAGGCCTCGTGCGTTGTCGACATGGCTTGTCCTCGTCGTACAGACTGTTTACGGTCAGTTGAAAACAGTGAAGCGAACCAATTCATTGTTCGTCGTCGCCAGCTAGATTTCCAGGACGTTGGACACACCGTCCACAAGTCGACCTAAGTGATGTTTGTTGTAAGACAGTTGCTAACCCTCGCAAAGGGAAATAGATTTTCGTGTCTATTTCTGTCCCCATGTGTATAAGTAATACGCCGCCTCGTTATCACAAACTTCCTGTTTAAAATATCTGTTACTGCGGCGCAATGCGAAGCGACGGCCTTGTTTTACAGCAATCGATCCCCAAATATATGTAAAAATTCAACTGTCAAAAGACGCCTGCTTCATTCGCCTGGAATGGCCGTATAAAACGGAATTAACGTGTGATTGATATCATTAAACATCGAGAGTGGAAATCAAACAAGCCTACTGATCCATGTGTCATGTACTACCATTAATACGAACTTACATCTGCCCGAGGTTGTCAGAGACCTTGAAGTCACAGGCGGTCTTTGCTTGTACCTCCTCCACCGTCACACCCTTGGCTACTTCCATGAGCGTCAGGAAGCCACCAGACCGGTCAACGTTGAACACAGCGAGTTCGGTAATAATCTGGCTGACCGCCCGTGCACCAGTCAGTGGCAACGAGCATTCCTGCATGATTTTTGGACCTCCATCTTTTGCACAGTGTTCCATGGCCACAATGACCTTCGTCTTCTCAGGATTTGACACCAGGTCCATGGCTCCTCCGATGCCTGCAGGTGTCACATGAGTCCAGATACAAATGCGATGTTAAATCACATGCCCTTCACAAGCTTGCCTGGAATCATGAAGTTTGCAATGTTGCCGGCCTGCGATACTTGCATAGCCTGAAAAAAGGTTGATCATCAAAATTTCCCACAGCCAACGAAAATGAAACATACACCAAGGATAGCGACGTCCATGTGGCCGCCCCGGATCATACCAAACGAGTCAGTCGAATCTATGTATAATCATTAACACGCGCCTCCTACTCGTGCTCTGACGTCACTCACCAAAGATCGAAGCACCCGGCAGTAAAGTGACCGTCTCCTTTCCAGCATTCGTGATGTCCCTGTTATCTTCCCATCAGCACCGACATCATTGGAACACATAGCCAGCGACACCCACGGATCGATTTGGTCCTCGGTGGGGAACGGACCCATTCCCAGAATGCCGTTTTCACTTTGCAGCCAGATTTTGACGCCTGGTGGGAGATACTCCGTAACGAGGGTGGGAATACCGACACCAAGGTTCACGTAAAAGCCATCTCTGAGCTCCCGTGCTGCGCGCTTTGCTATTCTGCGCCGTGTGCTCTTTTCCAGGAGTTCCTCAGGTGAGGAGGCACCAGTAGTTCCGGGTGGCGGAGCAGTGGCAATGATATCAAAAGCTTTTGGCTCAGTGGCCTGCACAACACGGTCAACAAATATTCCTGGGACATGAACAGCAGTTCGGTGGCAAGGAGCCAATGGGGACAATCTCCTCTGCCTAGAAGCGTGATAAGCTTGGTGCCAAATAGTGACTGCATTACCCTCACCTCTGCAATAACTAATCGTGCATTCCTTGCCATGGCGTTATTGTAATTGTTTGCGACATGTCGGAACATGAGGTTGCCTGCTTCGTCTGCCTTCCAGGCGTGGATGAATGCGACGTCGCCAGCGATGGCAGGCTCCATGATATACCGTTTCCATCGAATTCTCGGTATTCTTTTTTGTTTCCAGGTATCAAGATACCTTCTTTGAAGCCGCCTGCTTTAAATCTGATGGGGATGCCGCCAGTTTCAACGGTCGTGGAGGCACCTGTGGGTGTGAAGAAGGCGGAATGCCCGCGCCATACGCGCGCATCCGTTCAACGAGGGTACCTTGCGGGACCAATTCAAGGGACATCTTTCCATCAAGGTACATCCGCTCAAGGTATTTGTTTCTGAGCGAGCAATGAGCACATGAACATATATGCAGCAGTAGCACATACCCGCCAAGGTATGATATTATGAGCTTGTCAAGTTGTCCGCTCTTCATTAGCTTAACTAGTCCATTAAAATTGGTGAGATTCCACTACTTGGCACAGAAAAACGAACTACTTACCTAGACCCAAATCACTTGAACCAGCATTGTTTGACACAGCAGTCAAACTGTGCACGTCATTTCGTCGTGAAAGAGCAGTGATCAAAGTCTCTGTGAGGCGGTTATAAAATATCCCTCCTTGGAACTCGCGGGCAACGAACTTACCGGGAGTACCACACAGGCCGAACCCTGATATTGAATGAAATCGTGTCAACCGCAATCCAACCACAACGATGCAGACATACCTCCGCTCAGCACAATATCCCCAGACTTCACATCTTGCACAGCAGCATCTGCAGATACCCACACTTTCTTCCGCTGGAGTGCAGCAGACTCAGGCTGCGTCGCATAATGTCTTATATACAACCGGAAGGATGTCAGACCCTTGCATCGTCGGAAAATCTGCGTACTATGCGTAGGAAGGAGGAGAGCAGGACCCATAGGTGCCAGGCTTCAGGTCCCAGGACAAAGAATCAGAGGAATTTGGTTGTGGTTGACCGGCCGAATGCCAATATTCCATGTCACAAGTTGAACTTCTGTCCCGACGCGTCGGTACTCCGCCTGTCGAGCCAAAGAACAATCACAAAGCCCAGCAAAGCCTTCATATGCGGGCAGCCTCGGGAACACGTATTTCCGTACGATCATTAGTGAAACATTCAAGTTATTGAAACTTGATGGGTTCCTGATTTTTAAAGTCTAATCAGAGTCGGCATCGCATTCCGAAATTCACAGTCGGCCGTTGCCGTTGCAGAACCCCTGGCACCCTTTTTTGCTCAATGTCAAGGGCGTCGGCCGGTAGTTTACAAGACAAAAAACGGCAGATCGCGAACTTGTATTTAAGTATCACGAGCGCGAGTCCTAACTAGTAACTTAGTGGCCTAGGACGGACCCTAGTGAGACCACACTCATGATAGAGCGAAAGTACTACGTGTAGAATAGGTGCATGAACGCGATTTCCTGTTGAAAGTCGATTCCACGCGGCCCCGTTAGACTCCCTTTCTTGCAACTGCAACATCTCTAGTGCCATTCTGGTGTCCATGACGTCATGAACAGAAGTTATGTCTTTGGCTCATGCCATAATATTGTAATCGGACGCGATTATCTTGTACTCATCACGTTGCCCAAGGCTGTCCAAGGTGAAAGCTCTCATGACTCAAAGGTCATACTAACGGGCCCATTCATTCCGGGAGAGTTGGTGAGTGAATCTTCCAATGGAGACTCGAGCACAGAACCGTCCACGTTCTGCACATCGGAAGTCAGGGAGTCCGGGGACCTGACGATTTCATGAGCAAACGAGCAGGAATTTCTGCCGAGTGGGACTTGTATGCAGGAATTTTGTCTTGGGCGGTGATGAGAAGGTCTTTAAGACCGTCTGCCTTGACGTTGTAAATGAAACATGACTCCTTGGTCTTGACCATGCCTCCGTCTGACTCTTGTGATAGGAAACCTGAATCCGATGGACGGCAGTTGTAATCTGGAAGTCGTGAAACGAGGAGCACTGAGGTTGTCAAGGATGGTATGCGGTCTCGAGGCTGACTCTACAGCTACAATATTTTGCAGTGTGGAGACCTGATGTCTGTATCTCCTCTTCGGTAGAAATGATAACGTGTATGGTGTGGTGGATCTTTATATGAGGTATTAGCAGCTGGGAGACAGCCATTGAACTCGCCCATTGAAGTACCTAGGTGGTATAAGAACAATATACGTGCTGTAACAAATAATTTTGTAAGGAAACGATGGTAATAATGTTTACTTGATAATAACCTCGAAACTTGAGCGATCAAAGCTTGCTCAGATCGCTCCGTACTTTGAAATCGCAGCCGGTCTTCGCCTTGACTTCTTCAAGTGTTACGCCTTCCTGGAGTTCAACAAGCTCGAGGTGACCGTTCTTCCTGTCGACGTCGAAAACGGCCAACTCCGTGATAATTTGGCTGACAGTATGGGCACCGGTGAGCGGAAGAGTGCATTCCTTCAGAATCTTGGGGCTGCCGTCCTTTGCACAGTGCTCCATCACAACTATAACCTTTGTTTTGTCGGGGTTAGACACCAGGTCCATAGCTCCTCCGATGCCTAAGAATGTGATCGGCGGTGAGAATGCTGCGGAAGAATGACGAAACATGTCTAAATCACCAACCTTTGACCAGTTTTCCAGGAATCATAAAATTAGCGATGTCGCCAGCTTGCGAGACTTGCATAGCCTATGAGAAGAACCAGAATACGGTGAGATCATCCAGGAAGTCAGTGAGTGTACGAAAATACTAACTCCGAGAATGGAGAGATCGACATGACCACCGCGGATCATAGCGAATGATTCACTTGAATCTGCCCCATGGTGTTAGCAATTGAAGCCGATCACGCGAAAACATACCGAAAACCGAGGCGCCCGGCAGCAGGGTCACAGTCTCCTTACCCGCATTAATGAGATCCCTACAAGGAAATGGTTAATATCAGGAAACACTCCCTGGCGGCGCAACTTACGGATCCACTTGCTCTGCCGTAGGGTATGGCCCCATGCCGAGAATGCCATTCTCGCTTTGTAGCCAAACCCGCACACCGGGTTCGAGGTACGCGGGAATGAGAGTGGGTATGCCAATACCGAGGTTTACGTAGAATCCATCCTTGAGCTCCTTAGCAGCGCGCTTTGCAGTACGATGACGCATCTTCTGTGCGAATTCTTTCTCAGCACTCAAAGTGGATTGTTCACCAGAAGATGATGGGCTTGGCGCAAGTTTGATATGCTCTATTTGCTTTGGTGCGGTGGACTGAACAACCCGATCGACATAAATTCCAGGAACGTGGATGGCATTGGGTGAAAGAGAACCAATAGGCACGATTTGATCCGCCTACAAAGAATGTATCAACTTCCTCACAAAAATATCGTGATGTACTCACCTCCACTATCGTGAGTTTTGCGTTTTTCGCCATGACCGTGCTAAAATTCTGCTGGGTGTAACTACCCGAGTCAGCACGTTCAGCGCTGAGTTAAACGGCCTCCTTACCGGAAAACGCAGTTGCCAGCCTCATCAACTTTCCATGCACGAACGAAAGCGACATCACCAGCAATGGCCGGTTCCATGATATACTTGCGACCTCCAAATTCTCGTGATTCTTTCTTAATACCTGGTATCTTGACTCCGTTGGCAAATCCTCCTTCGTTGTATCGTGTTGGGATAGAACCGTCTTCTACTGCTGTTGATGCTCCAGTAGGGGTGAAGAAAGCTGGTATACCAGCGGCATGGGCACGGAGGCGCTCGACGAGTGTACCTTGAGGGCATAGCTCCAAAGACACCTCGCCGTTGAGATATAGAGCCTCGAAGGCCTTGTTTCTGGATAGAAAGACATTTTATCTCGAGCAGGCCCCAACAAAATGAGTCACTCACCCTCCAGGGTATGAAGCGACGATCTTATCTATCTGCTTGCTATTGAACAACTTTCCTACGGATCTTAATGAGGTTCACAAATCGTGGACAGTTGTGGATAAACAAACCAAGTCCGGAGTCGCCTGCGCCAGCATTGTTGGAAACTCCTGTTAGCTTTGTAACGTCCTTGCGCTTGACCAAGGCGGAAAGCAGCGTGTCTTGTTGTATTCCAGCTTAGTTGCACCGCTCGAGATCCACCCTCTGTCGAGACTCACCTGGTACACCAGCCAAACCAAAACCTGGGTATTGCGTGCCAGAAGATCACAGATCTGGTATAAGAAATGGAATGCGACGATACTCACCGCCACACAAAAGGACATCTCCTGACTTGACATCCTTAACTGCTTCGTCGACAGACTTCCACACCTTCGACTTAGTGGATAGTGGAAGTTCCGTAGGAGTGCTGTACCATCTTGCTCTAAGGAAGACGGTTGCACGAGGTTTGCAAACTGGGACGAGTGTCGCTCTCGAGGCGCATGCAACCAGCATCATGGTTGCACTCGTAAGTACTTGCTTTGTTGACTTATATAAAATTTGGTGTTTCGGAGACGAGCTCCGAAACACCCCACCCCCATGTTCGACACGGCGACGATACCTGTAATCCGCTGCGTCGGTGCAACATCGGTGTACCTATACCGACGCAGCGGAGTAGCAACAACAGGGTGGGAAACTGTGCTGACAAAGAGTTGGACCCCACAAACTTCGTTGGAGTCCGTATCTTCAAATATAATTATCCGATCATACCGCAACGTTGTCGTTCTACGTACTCGAGATTGGGCTCGTTGTTCGTACGCCATTGACATCCTCCGCCCATTTTTCTAACTCGCGCGCCTGCGAATGACGCTGTCTATTCTCTTCCTGCCGATACCACTACTCCTTCCCGCCGCCAGTACTTTAAGCTTTAGGTCTCCGTACCTACTCGTTCTGATCCATTAGTAGTCATAATTTGCATGATGTATTATCAATATCTCACCCAGCAAACTAAATTTGCATAGCTTGGTGATGGGTGTTGGTGTGATGAAGACTTGGCGTGAACATGGAGGCAGAACTCTGAACAGCGCAGTAACTACTAACAAGTCAAGAGAGTTATACGCGAATATCACCGAATACGAATGGGATATTGAACCATGTCTCAAAAATAAAGTACTCGAACAATTCTGTCCATGATTATCGGCCCTCACCTTTCATGAAAATGGCAATGCAACGAGTAGTAGAGAGGTTTCTATGACTTGTATGGCCAGTAATTTCGAGTAGTGGTGCGTATTCAGAGCTAGACGTGGATGACCGGGGAGGATGCGTTTCACATTGCGAATTTCGAACGTTCTGCAAAACTAACCTACATTCAATGGATTCAATGCGTTTTGTGACTGACCTCGTCGCTTTCCCCTGTATCATCGGTTGCGCTCCGTCACGAGACAAATCTGATCCAGCTATCTCTCATGTCATTGTTGACAGTATGACGAATCTTGAGGCCTGAGGTACCCCTTTTCGTGCCTGCGAGGTGTTCCAGCCTCCAGGTCTAGAACAGTAATAATGCCAATTCACGAATGACTTGAAGGCCGAGGCCGAGCGCTGATGACTCGTCTGTCGTGGAAGATAACGCTGCGGATGTCCTTGTCTCGAAATACCATCTGTGGTTCTATCTCGTGACATGACATGTTCCTGAAATAGTTGCTCATCGCTGCGCTGGCAGTGCGAAGTGAACGTACTGGATGAAAAAATCAAGTACATTTGAATCATTGATGAACCTAGTCACAGTCAGCTGGGACCTCAACCAGTAGGGGTTATATAGCTAGAGCAGAAAATGGTTAGCTCACTATGAGCGGCCATCACACTGCGGCGTGGCTGTGTAGCTTGTGCAAGCAGCCGCCAGCGCAGGGCCCTTCAGTAGAATCAGTACCCACAAGTAAATTCAAAATAACCTGAAATAAGCTGGTTTATGCAACGTTGAGCACTGGGACCTACCTTGCCCCAGCTATGTTCGTCGGCCGAAAACAAAATGTGCGCCAACCAGAGGGCAAGAAAAGGTCCGTGGTGGCGTTGATGCGCAAGTTGATGTGGCGCAGGACTTCGCTACTTCTTTTTTTGGGCATGACGAGAACATGTCGTCAGACTGCGGGGGGCCATGTATATAAGCAAAATCCCTCTTACTCCGTACCTTCATCCTCGTGAAGCAAACCACAACACAAAGAGTATCTGAGGCCAAAATTGTCATGTCAGACAGTTGGACAGATGACATCTTGCTAAAGGTTCGTGGTCTCTTAAGCTTTAGATCGTGTGGGACTCACTTGTCTCGAATTCTAACAACTAGATTGCAAACATCATTGTTTACTTCCTTTTCCTCGGTTCCAATGTCTACACCGTAGCGGCACCTCATGATATCTACTTCACTGGCAGGGAGACATACGTAACCCCTGCTCCATGGGCCTTTTTGATTTGGTAAGCCGTTTGCTGTCTACCCTAACCAATACTTACGGTACTCTCAGGTCTCTCATCCACCTGCTCCTTCTGGGTACTGTCATCTACCAGTTCACCGCCTCTGGCAAGAAAGTAATCATTGAAGGCATTTCATGGCGTTTCCCTCTCCTCGGCATCATGAATGCCATATACGTGCATTTATGGGCATCCCAACACTACATATTTGCATTCGTCTTTGCTTTGTTCGTAAGCAGTACTATCTCCGTAAGTCTCTCAGCTCGCTTCATAGTATTCAGAGCGTCACATCTTTCATATAGCACATCTACTACGTGGTGAAGAAGTTCCACGCACCTGGTAATGTTGGCGACGAAGTCTTGGTCCACTTGCCTTTCTCCCTTTACCATGGATGGACTACCGTTCTCGTCGTCATCACTGCGTTTGAAGCATTCGGCGTCAATGCGCTTTCTGTACCAGCCGGTGTTTGGACCAAGGTTTTCGTATTCCTTGCTTTGTACGTCAACACAGATTTCCTCGTGACGCATCAGAATTCTTATGTCGTACAGGTTCTTCCTCGAGGCGACTGCGGCCGCGTATGCTTTTTCCAGTCCTGAGGGTGACCTTGCTGCCAGCTTCGCGATAACGTGGTCTCTCTTCGCGATCTTTGCTCATCAAAGTGTTGGTCGCTCGGCATTCATTCACTGGTCTGCACTCGCGTTTGCAGTGCTCTCGGCGTTCTGGGTTTTCTTGGGCATCTTTGGCACGTACAAGCGGTTCAGGGGTGGCCCAATCATCTTGGACGAAGAGCGTGCTCCACTTGTCGGCAGTGAAACCTGATTTTGAAAAGAGAACGAATGTGGACCCAAATGACTATTGAATGGGTCCTTCTATTTTTTGACACTGACAAAGCAAGGTCCCTTAATCCAGCTTCTGTTTTCTTCCGTTATGGATTGTATTGTTTCTTGTGTACTTAGTACTTAGTGCTGACGTCCCTGTGGCTCGTGCTGTACTTTGCCTGCATATCTATGGCCGCATCAGCAGGCATTATTGATTCGGTTTCAGAGCTTTTCAAACCAATTTCAAACTCAATGATGGGTATCAGTGGGCAGTAATACATTGTACCCAAACTATGAGCATATGGTAACATATGATCTACAAAGACGACTGAGTGTTCAAAAGACATGAATGATCTTCACGTGAATTGCGATTAAAATTGAGGAGAAGGCCGTGAAGATGATTATCAGTGAAGAGGGAGGAGGAGGAATATCCGTGCACTACGTCTGCTCCCCGCCTGTCAACCCTCGTGTAAAAATATTTTTATATAGAGGCCTCGCCCACTACTGTCATCGAAGAGAGTCGTCGGGAATCAGGACGGCCCTGTCGACAAGCGGTGTAGTGCGAACCGTAGTGTGATAAAAGGCAGGAAGATAACGAAGTCTGGAGCGGAGACGACATCAAGGTTTCCTGAATTCGCACAACACTGTGTAGATGGTGTTGAACGCAGTATAAATCTCTTCCCTGACCTAGCGGAAAGGATAAGAGCAACAAGTGTCAGCGGAGGGTTCGAACCAGATCCACCAACACGTCGGTCTCATCTTGGAATAATCCAAGAATCACTGACGCGAGAAGATATAATAACGAAAGTCTTTACCTTGGCACCAGTCAACACTATTTTCCCCGACACGAAGATCAACAACACGACCTTTGGCTTGAGCATGCGATAGATGAGACCAGGGAACAACTAAAAGCATGTGAGCAAATTAAAGTCTCGCATTGTGCTTACATACCTCAGGCTCGTAACTGCTGAACTGTCCGTGGCTGTATGCGAGACCCTCCAAGCGAATGGGGAACTTCACGTCACAACTTCCGACTATGTTTTGGATCTTGAACTCGGCGAACTTGGCGTCAAAACCAAGCTTTTGCACGATACGCGCGTACTTGCGCGACGCCAGTCTTGAGTCGTCTTCGCTCTTCGCACCCGTGACGACCATCTTGCCAGAGGCGAAGATAAGTGCAGTTGTCTTGGGCTCACGAATACGCATGATGACAGCTGCAAAACGCTATCGTGCAAAGCGCATTGGCGTGCAACGACAGGTAGTCAAACAGTAGTACCAACCTTAGGGTTATACTCTGCATTCCGGGCGTGCAGTGCAATGGTCTTGAGGTCAAGACGACAATCGAGGTTAACTGTTGCAACAATATTTTGTAGCGTGGGCACGATGCCTTCCACAGCTGTGATGTGTTGTTGCTCAAGTGTGAGAGGGGCCGGTGTGGCGGGAACAGCACTGGCCGGTGGCGTCGAAGGACCTGCCACAGCAGCTGATGTAGCACCATTACTAATTACCGTTGTCGCATTTACAGGTTGCGACTGTGAAGGGGGAGGGGTATGTGATTGAGACAGTGGCGATGGTCCCGGAAGCGCGAGATTCGATGGCGCAGGAAGACTATAGGTACCAGCGCCGGGAAGTGCTAGCCCATGATTAGGTTGGGCAGCTTGTGGTTGGGAAAGTTGACTTGGTTGCTGGTAAGGCGCAGCAGACCTGCCGAAAGTAACCTGACGAGCGGGAAGTGCAAAGGACATTCCTGACAATAGAAAGACAATGAAAATTTGTTCGTCGAAGTTCGTGGGAAATCTCGGCGAGGGGGAAAATTGCGTGAAGGGTCGAGGTCGAGGCCATTATATATACCTTTTAATTTTAAACTCCGACCATAACTCGGATCTGATCTCCATTCTATGTTTCTCTTCCTCTTTCTTCCATCATAAAATCCATTACTTATGATCCGGGCGTGTTACCTTGTATTTCCCCTTAATCCTTGAATGCATAGGATAGATACTGGTGCGAACGTCCAGTAGGCTTTGTTCTCAACGAGCAGGATACCTTTATACTCTTGGAATCGACTTCAAAGCTACACATCCAACAGGCGCGGGACTCACAGTATGTGGCGTGGAATATTCTAGAAAGCTACCAAAAAAGGTGATATTATTCTCACGCTTGTGTATGATGATGGTGTACGTGGCAGCATTGCCTAGCAGTGCGTTCTTGATTTGGGGTATGAGACTGTGCTCGTATGTCTCATCTTCCAGCCTCACAGAGATTGATGTTGTTTAGAAATAATCTCGGCAGTGTGTAGATCCCCCCCCTACACGGCCTTACGTCCTCTTACTCCAGCTCATCTTTGGCTAAAGTGGGACCACTGGTGGCAATTTTGACATAACAGATGCGGGATGTTGCCAGATACCTATATAACAGCGTCTAACCGCAGGTGTACATGGCTTGTCGTCTGCATGATGATATATGTGCAAATCAGCACTTCTCCGCAATGTACAGAATGCGACTGGCCATCAAAGTTGTGTGCGCCCCTCTGAGAAAGCTTGATCCGGATAGTACGGATGTATGTGAAATCAGTCATTCTTCGTCATATGTGTGGTCTAGCTATGGGTGATCAGGTATGAATTGTGCATATTATATCGTTTCGCCATTGAACTCTGTTCTGTCAGCACAAATGAACCTATGGCTCTGCTCGAGTAATAGGCTGACTATCCCCACTGTAATCGGTTAGGCCAATGGTGATCAGTTGTCCTCTTCCGTCAAGGGTTACAGACGAGCGTAAGGCTGCTGCCGCGACTTCCTCGGAGAATACTATGTCCGAATTGATGTTTGATTCAGAGTCGCTGTGTCTACGACGAATCACGATCCTGTAGATATAAACTGCAGCCACAAGAAGGTTGCATGTAACGAGTGAAACGGCGAGCTAATTATTTCCAACATGCAGTCAACCAAAAGATGCCTCGACCGATGCGCAATTCATACCTCAAAATCAGTTGCAATCCTCAAGATACTCTTGAAATGCATGAGTTGGCAGACATCTCGGAAAACTGAGACGATCGTCACGATGATACTGGTTGTCAATGCTGCCAGTATCATTATGCGCTCCTTTGCTGGAAGCTTTATGCCCCACAAAAGATACAAGGCGGGTAATACGATGACTGTATCAGAAACGCGGTCCGCTGTTGATATCATCGTGAGTGGTCAGGATGTCGTTCAGATCGGGGGTTTTACTTATCAACTCAAAAATAACTATAGGATGGATCAAATACGCATGTACTTGCCCATTCTTGTCGGGGCGATGGCACCAATCAAGATCGCGGCCATATTGCCAAGCTTTCTGTGCCACTAACGCGCAATACAACACCAGGAACACGAGGGCTATGGCAATGGCCGTTAAACGCAAGGACCTCGCTGACCAGAAAATCCGTGCTACAGAAAAGAGAATACTTTGTCGAACGGCCCTGATTTTATCATATGCTCAGTGAGCAACGCCGATGAAAACGGGAAAATACGCACCAGATAGCTGATGGAAAGGCGAACCCGTACACCCAGAAACATATGACTGCGGACTGGCCGCCATCTATTATGTAAAGATAGGTGTTGACCACACTGGTGAATGAAATCACATTGCTAACCAGTATAGAAGGATTTCCATCCAGCGATTAATGAGGACTTTAACGTCCGTCATCATTGTGATATAACACAAATATAGCAGCTTGCACTCACCACCCCGCATACAAGCGCTGCGACAGCCCACATGTCCTCCACCCAGAACATATGTGTCCGCATACGGTATCCGAGCCGCAGGATAGTAATCAGAACAGCCAAGACCTGAAGGATAGTGCAAACGACTGAAAATCGTTTGAATGGCTAGAATGTCTGTAGGAATTTTCAACTTTACCTCTCGACGCTGTCCGTGACATAGTAGTGTATTGATGTACACTGGACAGTAATACAAGATCCAGCGATTTGGCTCGAGACTTAAATTGAACATAAACCCTGAGGTAACGTTACAAAGCGTGGAAGATCAGGAAGGTCGCGACAGAGCCAAGAAGGGTCTAAGGCAACTTGGCAAAGGTGAATCTATTTAGTCTGATCGATTTTGGGTTAATGCTGTGTTGCTTGACAGGAAGATGATGAAATGATTCCCTTTCTCATGTGTTCTAGGTCGCTCTGCGAGTAAGTAGATTTCTCCCAGCCAATCACGTACGAGCTGTTCGAAAATGTTGAAGATCAACGGCGAAGTCGTGTATGTACTTAGTACGACTATGTGCCAATTCAGGGATGGCCGATTGGAAAACCTGCCAAGCAAAGTATCTGTCGTGAATGCGATACCCGGCCTGTTAGCATGTTATTCAGGAAAAGTACTAACTGGACTTGTTAAGAGGCATTCTGGATGGGTCAGTGATTTTGTCACCGATGATGTGCGTACTGTCGGCCTGGATCTATAAGCGATTCTTGTGACTTCGCCGCACCATTTATGTGATTTCCTATGCCGACTCACCTCCAGTGACTACCAGGTTGTCTTGGAGAGCGACTGGTATGATATTACGCGTAACTTGCCATGTACTACTCCCGTGGCTGGAATAATCGATTGCCACTAGCTCACCTCAGTGTTGTCGACCGTGTCACAATTCAGAGATCGCCGCCGCCACAGCTTGACACTGGCAACTCTACGGGAAAACAGTGGGATACCCTGCTTCGATCACGGGTCATCACACTCTTTCGAATTTTCGGGTCTCGACAAAAGGCAGGCTAAATTCAACATTAGTTACACAGGATTAACAGTCCCCTCGCCTCGGAATGTAGATTGAATCTCTGACTTTCTCTGCTCACCGCTTCCTGACTAGGCATCGCCCAAGTCGACAGTGGTAAAAACACCACCCGTATTGGTTCGCGTCGTGTAATCATTGTCATCAATAGAAACTGGGTCGTCCGCACCCACGAAACCAAATATGCGGTAAAGGAAAGTAACTATGACAAGAAGGTTGCAAACGAGAAGCGACAAGGCTGTCTAGTGCGTTCAACACTCAGATTCAAGTACCCCTAGAAGAAGAAGTTGACTGCACCTCGAAGTCTGTTGCTGTGGCAAGAACGGTCGTGTATTTCGCTATCTGACAGACCCCCCGGAAGATGGATATAATGGTGACGATAATGCTAGAGGAGAATACGGCGAAAATCATCCTTTTCTGTCTTTTTGGCAGTTTGAGACTCCAGAGTAAGCGCAATGGCAGAACAATCAGTATTGTGTCGGATAAGCAATCAGCTTACGAAGTGTGTAAGTTCAGGTCGTGTAAAAACCGCAAGAAAGTCGCACTCATCAGTTCAAACGCGACCATGGGTCGCGTCATAGATACATGCACCCTTCCAGTTGTTTGATACCAAGAGGTGTCGTGCCCATTATTCCACGCTTTTTGTGCAACAAGTCCTGCCCACAAACAGAGGAAGAAACCTGCAAGACCGAGTATCAAGCGACGGAGGTGCTGCGTTGCATACACAATGCGAACGATGGAAAACAAGATGCTTTGCCGGACTGCCCTATTTGCCCTTGAGAATCAATGGTGCAGATTTGGACACGAATACACTCACCATACCATGGAGGAAAAAGCAAATGAGTATACCCATAATGATATAATTCCTTCTTCACCCACTGCAGCCAGGAGTCCAATAATGAGTGGGTGATGTGCACAAGCGGACACCCTTCACCTGCTTCAACGTAAGTCCAGCAAGAAGTCAACACGACTATCCCGCATAGAAATGCGACGCCTGCCCAAGCATCCTCGATCCAGAACCTTCTCAACCAAATACGATAGGCGAGTCTGAAGATCGTCAACACCAGCCCTAAAGCTATGAATGCACTCGAGACGGCTGCAGGTGGGTTAGTGAATTTTATATACCATGCAAAAACTTACCTCTCAGAGTCACGAAGGTCGACCAAGAAATCACCAGCGCCATGTAGGTCAGGATAAATACCAAAGAGGGGGCGTACCCCAAGCAGAAAAGCTGCATTTATCTTGCGAACTCAAAGTTTGCAACCCCGCTTGGTGACAAGGACGTGCCCCTGAATCTGTGGCAGCATGTTGCGTGATGGCAGTAGTGACATTTGTTGACCCTGATTGTGGAAGGCATACAAAAGTTCAACCAGGCTCAAGCTATAGATCTGGTCCAACAAATCTTACAGTCTCCCCAGCCATTGCTGCGGAACGGCTTTCGAGACTGAGTAAGGTACGCTACTGCAACAAAATCCCTGCCACCTTAAAGGCTCATCATTGAAAGTAGTCGCGACTCACATGTATAGCGATATATTTCCGCAAAACGCCACAGGTGCAAGTCCAGACTCTCGAATCGTGTTCGCTTACAGGGAAGCGAGGCTGAAATCGACTCGCTTATTCGGGATCTGCAGTGCAGCCCTCATGAGTAGACATATATAGTGATACAGCCACCCTCTGAAATGAGTCTCCGAAACGAAGGAATGACTGGAGAGTGGCGGCGTAGTGGTTGTTTAGCAAGTCCGAATCAGCCTGCGCCTGGATTAGATCATCCACGTGCGCATTTGGCGATTGGATATCCACGTGGCAGATAATCTCGACTCTCGAGTCACTCGCATCTGCTGCTTTTAAATACTAGAAAAATAGCTCCGCGCTCAACTGCGCTCAACCATACCTTGTTAGATGTCCAACTCCCAACCCGCTACCATCCTTCCTGAGGCGCACGAGCAACTGGTCACGCCGTGGGATGTGCAGGGCTCAGTCTCTGCCGAGGGCAAGCAACTTGCGATCGACTACGACAAGTTGATTGTCCAGTTTGGGACGCGCAGAGTCGATGCAGAACTTCTGGAGCGGTTCGAGAAATTGACAGGGCATAAGCCGCATCCGTTGCTGAGGCGGGGGATGTTTTTCTCGCATCGGTGAGTGCAATGAAGCCGCTCAGCTGATGTCCCGTACAATTCGGTTGATGTCAATGCGCTTTCATAGAGAATTTGACAAGATTTTGGATCGATATGAACAGGGAAAACCATTCTTCTTGTACACGGGACGCGGTCCAAGTAGCGATAGCATGCATCTCGGGCATATGATACCATTCCTCTTTACCAAGTGAGTCATTTGTACATGTCTGTCATTTGGCCTAACGATCTTGGAGATGGTTGCAGGATGTCTTTGATGTCCCGTTGGTCGTCCAACTAACTGGTGAGCATTTCGTCATCTCAATTTGATTACTCACCAATCCAACGAACAGATGACGAGAAATTTTTGTTCAAGCACGAGCTGAAAGCTGAGCAGACGCTACAGTTCTCGAGGAGCAACGCAAAAGACATCATTGCAGTGGGGTTTGATGTCAAGAAGACATTTATCTTCAGCGATTTCGAATACGTTGGTGGGCCATTTTACCGCAACGTCGTCAAAATATCAAGGCAAATATCATACAACCAATCAAAGCTACATTTGGTTTCAACGACTCGTAAGTCTCATTCGTCCTTCATCCAGGATGGTCTGCATATTTTTCAACAGGGATAACATCGGCAAAATCCATTTCTGTGCCGTTCAAGCAGCCCCGTCCTTCTCTAACTCGTTCCCTCACATCTTCGGCGAAGTTTCTAATATCCCATGCCTCATCCCCTGTGCAATAGACCAGGACCCTTACTTCCGACTTACTCGTGATGTCGCGCAGAAACTCAAGTACCCTAAACCATCCCTCATCCACTCCCGTTTCTTCCCCGCTCTTCAAGGACCTCAGACGAAGATGAGCGCATCGGATGCGACCTCGAGCATATTCATGACCGATACCCCGAACCAGATCAAAAATAAGATCAATAAGCATGGTTTCTCTGGTGGTAGAGAGACGGAAGAGGAACACAGGAAACTTGGGGGTGATACGGACGTGGATGTTGCATATCAATATCTGGGCTTCTTCCTGGACGATGACGAAGAAATTGCGAAGATAGGCGAGGTATGTAGCTGCGGTTAATGTTTGCGAATCATGTCACTGATATCCGTGATCAGGATTACAGGGCAGGGCGTCTACTTACGGGGCAATTGAAAGCACGTTGTATTCAAATGTTGCAGGAGTTCGTGAAGGTCTTCCAAGAGGTCAGTGACTTCCCTACGACCTTCAGGATTATGTATTCATCCTTACATATAGCGGAAAGCCAAGATTACGGATGAGGATGTCAACGCATTCATGGATCCAAACAGGAAAATAGACCCTAGTTTCGGCAAGCGATCACAGACATCATGAGGTCATGTAATTGTACGAGGAAGTAGCAAACACATAGTTTTACGTGTACGTAAATGAATCTGCCATTTCGTGTCATGATCGTCGCGACAAATACACCCACTGACTATATTTTAGGTATCTGAGCGCGATCCAGATCCATGCCAACTACGCATTGATAATATTCAGACCGTAAGATCCACTACTTATTCCATTCATCTCTGTGTTGCAGGCCTTGCCGATGGGAATTGTACTAGTGCCAATGCCCTTCGTCCAGTGAAAAGGATACGTCTGAACCTAGTCATACTGCCGTGCAGCAATGACATCCGTCATGCCCTTGCCCCTGTTGAAGGTATTCATGGTTCTTCTGGTCCACAGGGTCATCAACGAATACGCAGAGCTTCTCGTTATATGGCCTTATGAACACCTATGAATGTTGAGTTGGTTCCAGGCTCGTAAGTAAGTGATCCGGCTGACAACACTCGAAAGACCAACTTACGCTGTGTGAGGTGCATGACTACCGATTCCTTGACTTGTTCGAAGTGCTCTGGAAAAAGGTGTGAGTCGAGGATTGTGTTTTCAGTGATATCGAAGTCTTCGCGCCTAGATGAGAGATATCACAACCATGCCTTGGACATACTCAAGATGAAAGCGTTACGCTTTGACCATCAGTGCTTTATAAAAGTTAGAGATACGTGGCGTGAACGCAGGATGTGTATGCTCAAGAGTTGTCGTCAGCATGATGGCGTCGGACACGATCAAGCATCGCCATGGTTTTCTTGAGCGAGCTCTTGAGGTGGCACCCAGACGAGACCAACACAAACACATTTAACACGAGGTTCGAAGCTCACTGCAGAGAGGGGCCCATGCGCCGTTCACAACCGTTTCGCGAGAGAAGCTTGCGGGTAGAAGTGTACCTCAAGTACTGGATGATGCGGTGTGCATCAATTATCATATCCGGGACCTCGCCCGACGCGATTGCAGCAGTTAGCCAGTGCTATTTTTGGGAACCGTTCAATTATTGAAGCTGAAAACAAGACAAGCTGAGAATTATCTTCTAAATGTCGAGAACACTCTTCTCTATTTGCTGTCCACTATTTCGTCAAGTGTTCATGATGAATTCATCCACCTCGTGACTCACCATCAGCCAAAACATGAAGCTCAGAAAGACGTGCAACTTACCCAGACTTTAGCATCATCGATGGTCACCAAACACGGGCCTATCAGTAGTACGAGGGATGATCAGCAAGTATCAATGGCAGAGTATACACACGTAGAAGCGTACCGCTTGCTTGCACCACCGGTTCCTCATCATCCTGATACATTTCTTGCTGTGTTAGTGCCTTCGTTATCCATGCCGTCATCTGCGATGCTTCCGTTACTGCCGCCGTAAGCATCTTAGAAGGAATGGGACAGCTGGCTTGCATCACGCGAAGCAAGCGGATCTACATCATCTCCGGGTCCTGGGAGATAGTCTCATGAGTGGGTGAGCGCGTGGCCTGCCGGCACGCTGGAATTCGCAGCTGCGAGTAACACTAAGGGTGGAGAACTGGCTGCTAGGGTGGTAAGGGTGGTGGCAGAAGGCATGGTGCTGCGGACGGAATACCAAAATTGGTTAGAACAACATAAAACAAGGGTAAAAACACACCTAACGTACCTTGGGGACACTGCAACAGCGAGGCGCTCGATCAAGTCCGCCTTTCTCCCTCGCAAGTTCAAGCCGTGCTCACGGCACGGCGCTTGCAGTTGCTTCACGGTGAAAGTTTTGTTGCAGGGAGTGTTAGTGTCAGTGCATGCACTTCATTAATGACGATGAGTCCGAGTCCTGACCGTGTGGTACCATTGCCTCTGGCGTGCGATGCGCACAGTGTATGGGGATTTCCCTTGGGCGCAATAATTTGTGAGTGTACGTACATAATGAAATATGTAAAAAAACAATATCAAATTCGCCTCGCTGACGGGAAGAGTGAGGACTTTGTATGGGCCCAGGTCCTCCTGCTGGCTTGAGTCAACGAGGGCACTCACCACTTCACGCACGTTCGGGGGTTGAATTACCAGGTCTGGCGATGGTGGGCTATGATGCATGTGATGTCGGACAGCGCAAGGAAGTCCGGGTCGATAACGGCATCGGAGCCAGTACTATTGGATGAGCGTCGATGAGAAGCTGACACGATACACGTAAACCGTGAACTGGTCGACCTGGTGAACGACGAGGGAGGCGGTCCCGGGAGAGCGAACGTTTCGCCTGAGTGTCAAGGGCGGGATTCCCTTCCGAGGAGGCATCATGATCCCTGCTCAGTACTCTACCTTTATTGACGGTACGGGACACATAATTCATTTATATAATATATTGAGTGCAAAAACGATCAGATTAACGTTCTCAGGCCTAACTAACTTCGATTGCGGTGTATGTATCACTAAATAACTTGTTTGTCTGTTTAGTCAAAGGTATACCAACCGCGGGCAGTTGGGAGTACTGGACTATCGGGCACGAACAATTAATAACCGACGTAGGCATACTGAATCAAGCAAGAAAAACCTCGGCAAGCGATCACAGACGCTAGCGCTGTGACTCGGAACTACTGGTGACCCAGTGATACTTGTTGTACAAGTGAAATTCTACGTAAAGAATGTATGCTAGAGTCCTGGGCATTAAAGATATGATGGCGGTAGATATAATAACGAATACGCGCGAGCCTGCCAACCTACGCCATGATCAACATGAACGGGAGTGAGCTTGCCAGACCCTCTTCAACCACGCATTGATACCTTGTAGGCTAAGCAATCCACCGCAAATTCCGTCCATGTCTTTGATGCTGGCTTTGCCATTGGGCATTGCGCTGGTGTCAATGTCTTTCGTCCAGTGAAAAGGCAATGTTTGTATTTGGTCATGTCGCCATGCAGCAATTGCATCCAGCGCGGCCTGCCCCCAGTTGAAAGATGCATGATCTTTATGGTCCGTAGGTCCGTCGACGAAGACACATAGCTTCTCGTTGTGCGGCTGGATAAACCCCTCCCGCACACCATTCCGGATAAGTTCACGGAGGGGGTTGTAGTAGGACAGAACATTGAGTAATATTACGGCTGCAAAGTATGGTTTTGGTTGGCCAACATAACATTGAAGCAATAAAATATGTTTACGTTTGTTGTGAATGTTGAGTTGGTTCCAAGTTATAACTTCAAGAATCTAGGGGCATGATACAGTGAGCGCGAGTTACGTTGAACGAGCGAGCCTCGTGTACTACCTCTTCAAAAGTGCCGTATCCTCCTGGCAACCCCACAAAAGCACCAACACGCTTCGCCATCTCGATCTTGCGCTCGTGCATCGAGTCAACAATAATCTTAATGAAAGAACGAATCACACAGATCGAAATGAAAACAGACGGAAATCAATCAGACAACGTGGTATACCCGTGCGAGCTATTACTTACCGTCTCTATCTATTGAAAGTGCGCGGGTGCGCGTTGGTGAGTCAGGTCTGTATTGTCATCATTGATGGAATCGCGTACATGTCTTCGTCGGTCCTCGTCGAGGACTTCAGCAACAGATTCAGTCTTTGCGACACCATTGCCCTTATCTTTTTCGCCGCCTGCGGCGTGTATGGCATATGGGATAATGCCAGTAACTTGGCCGCCCTCATCTGCGACAGCACCTGAGACAACGCCCATGAGGCCCATGTTACCACCGCCATAGACAAGGGGTCGATTTGCCTCAGCCAGAGCATGGCCCAATGCTGTCAATGACAAAAATACGATGCAAGACACGTGAGAGTAGTCAAGAGATTGAATCAAGAAGACATACATAGCGCAGCTAGCTGGAAGGCATTCTGCTTCCCAAGTGACGCAGCACAATAAACTGCCACAGCCGAAGAATTGGAGGGTGCAACCATGACCGACAGCTCTGGAAGAATTGCTGATTTTCGAGAGGGGGATTGGGGATTGAAAGGATTATGCATGTTCTGCACTTCAACGAGTCTTTAAGTAAATGCACGTACAGCAAACTCGAGGCAAATGGCGTTTCTGCCACGTGTCAGGATGGCAGATTTCAGTTCACAACACTAGGGCCCTCGGCCCTTGTTCGACGTTTTTTTGGTGGGAGATTCTAATACGGGAGCCGATGAGATTGCTGTCACAGTACGCTTGACTGGGCGTGTTCTTGGCGGGCAAGGAGTCGAGCTCAAGAACATCGCTCAATGGTGTGGTATCACAACCCGACTTAGGATGAATCGATGCCAGTTGTGTTGCGACTCGCGATATTTGTAAATCTCGTTGTTTGCAGAATGCTAGGGGTCCAAAAAAATAAAAACATACCGGCAATAAAGTTTCAACTTCCGACAGCCGATCGCGATCTGGATGTAACCTGACGTAATATCAACGACTCAATTTGTGCTAATGCTAATTAACCATATTTGCAACCAAGCCGTCTGGCTACATGACCTAGTTCCTCAATATCAATGAATATTGCTGGTATCAAAAACGAACTTGCGGCAAGTTGATCAGCCATTACCAGCACCTTTGGTATTAACGGACCTTCCGCGAGCAACCGTTGACTGATAGACAGAATGTCGCGGAGGTACGCGGCCACGTTTAGAGGGTTCCAATGTGCCTTTGACCTCTCGATCATCGTCATTCCTTTTCGTCGCATGATCATGACACCTCCCATCTATTATTATCCAGGATCTTCTTAGTGAAGATGCGTCCCTAGAGTGTTGGATGAGGTTGTATTTCATTTGACGGCTTTGCTGTCGTGATCATCCCACTCCGACGTTGACGTGTCTGTCTTATTCTCATTGTCTCATTACGAGGAGTGCGCACATCATCGTTTTTTCCCAAGAACAGATTTTGCCAACAAGAAATTTGATACATTCGAGCCCAAGTAGCGGGAAGCTGGTTGCCAGTTGTGACATCTACATACTACGTGGACACCGGAGACGGTAAGAAAAATATGCATAATAAATCTGAGACACTGACTGTGGTTGACATCGATAATATGTTATTGATAGTGGTCGACGTCGCACTGCCACACTTCTGAGTCTCCTACCTGTGGGTGACCAATTTTTGCAGGTCCTCGTACCCGTAATTTGCACCACCCAACCCACGATTCGCCGTGGGTGCTGCCCGGCGGGCCTCGCCCGTGTCATACCCTTGATCATCGGCTATCTGAGTCTTGACGGCGTGGGCACTATAGACCACGAGGCAAGCCAGAACTCGTTAGTACGAAGCTGTCGTAACTAGCGCCGGGCACCGCAAAGTCGAAGTTTCGTAGGAGATCACCGAACCACAATTACCGCTGTTAATTTCAACGTTGATTCTATCCATATCCGAGAGCTAGTCGCACAGCTTCGAGGTTGTCAGCTGGCTCGAGGTGAACACGTTGAAAACATGAAATCCCGCAGTAGCCCATGATGATCCTAGCAGAGCCTAATGGCGTTACTATGGTTAAGCACTGCAGGTTGACTAGTCAATGACATATAGAGGTAATCAAAAGGCAAACCATCCATCTCCGAGATGATATCTCGCGACCTCTTGCAGAAAATCAAGGCATATCGCTATATTTCTTTCGGCAGAGGGCCTAAGGGAGTCTGGCATGAGGGTTCTATACTTCTGCAATTCACGCCGAACCCTCCTCGCACTTTCTCCTCCTGAAGTTGCATTCTACAAGCAGGGGGACAATGCTTTGTCCTATCGGGTCTTCGTAGAAATCCACGAGTGCCCAACCCCTGATCCGCGGTCCCCTATTTACGTCACTCTCTCCTTGTTCATCGAACTGATCGAGGATCCATTTGCCGACTCGAGCATTGACGCCTTCAAATCCAATTCCCCACTGCGGCCATCCGAGGCCGCGGGCCATTGTCGGAGGGAACGCCAATGGGACTGACAATGCAGAAAGGAATGTTATCGATAAGGTCAGGGAAGAAGAATCACAGGAATCAACAAGGATATTGGTTGAGAGAGCAACTTTCTCGGGGATAGAAAGGAAGGTGGGGATTGCATACCTGTGGTGATAGTCAGGCTCATAATTAGCTAGATGATCCGAGGATCTTCATACATACCAGTCGTGAGTCCGGACCAGGACATCTTGACAGTTCCAAGTAAAACCGAGCCTGTCATTATCAGGCCAGATGGTCGGATGGATCCCGATAGCCGCGTTGTCCCAGTCGTAACCATTTCCGCCGAAACGACTGAACATTACGACCTTGCCTCTTACTTCACCCAGGGTTGGTATTCTATTTTCTAAATACCACATGTCCAAACCCCCTGGCGAGGCAACAATCTCTTGACGTACAAGCCGGCTAAAACGTTGCGTATCAGAATCTTCCTGCTTGATTGACATAACTATGGTTTCGCGCGAGCTTGAGGGTGTTGTAAGGAACGTGTGTACCGATGATAAGATTTCCGCAAACAGGGCGCGTTCCGGATATATTCCGTGGTATGAAATGAGGTGGGAATCGACAATTGCCAAGCGTATGTCGAGAACTCGAATGCCAGAGTGAAGTTGTCTCTCGAGAGGGGTGCCTGGCGATTGACACTGGGCAATAGGCCATCCATAAAAAGCCATTCTATCATCCTCGTCATAGTAGTATTTCACTCGCACATAGAAGTCGAGACATACGTATCATGGGTTCCTGATATGTGTGGTCAGGTAAGCACAGTGAATACGAACAGCAGTTTCACCTGGAAGCATCAAAGAGGATAGAGGGACAGCATCAGGGATGAGAGACAAGAAACAGGATGTATCTCGTCGAGGGAAAATAAGCAAACAATGATGTTTGCGAGACAACTAGAATTATATGGATTCAGGCAAGCCAGTGTTGTCTACGCTATTATCTCACCTTATTGCGATAGACTACCCATTCTGAATCTGCTGGGACTTTGACAAGCTTCCACCTCGCTGTAGCGTCGACATCGAGACGCATAGTAACAGACACAGGGCTTGTAGGACTCGCCTCATATTCCTTCGTCGCACTATCCCATGTATGTCGAGATACCTTGAGAAGAGAGCACTTTTGGGAAAATGATATGCTCTTGGAATGGGCTCGGACGAGGAGAACGTGGTCTTGCTGTGCCGCGCCTCTGAGGGTACAATATAAATCGTCCTGTGTCTGGTTTGAGATGGTGAGGTGCATATGCGTTAGTGGAGAGCACGAACTGACTGTCCGTTGAACTTGGCACCGTACAACGCTTACTCCCAGTGCTGTGTAGATAGCACCTCACGTGATCTGCAACATGCAGACGCGACCCTTTGGAACGTAGAAAAGGCGTGACAGAGGCGTGAAAAATGTACAAATATGGAATGCCTTTTTGGACGATGGGGTGTGTGAGGCTTGATTTACAAAAAAAAATTGAGCTTTTGCATGGATAAAAAGTTTAACTTATGAGGCATCCAGCGTGTTTTATATTTTGAGACTTAACTGCAACAGTTAGACATGTCATCAAGAATGAAATGGATAATTTAAGAATAGAAAACACTCAGACGAGCCCGTAATGCCGCCTAAGTTAAACTGTTCATTCATGCAAAAGCTCTGAAATTTTTTTAAATCAAGGTTCATAGCATCAGAAAGGTTGCTTCCGCTGCAGTGTCAGGGACTCGGAAGCTGGCAGGCTACCCGGATCTTGATTGAAGGAGCACAACTCAGTTGGCAACTTCTCAAGAAAAGAATTTGATATTATATGGATATAAATATCGGGCCTTTGATATAACTTTCTCGAGTAGCACTATCAAAAGATTTCTAGCTTGCTTTCAGCGTACTTGATTAGGGTTGTTGTGATTTTCGCCTGTCTCTCTCTTCGGACGCCTCTCGCCATTTCTTACCCTTATAAAGGACAGCTAGTGTCAGGATTTCCATTACCATCACAATGACACCCCAGAGGGTGTATAAATAACCATCGCTAATGGCGACCTGACAAAAAGTTCAAACAATTGCATATAATTCAGCAAAAAAAATTTGAACACACCTGAATCGGAATAGCCACCTCTGTGGCAACGAACGCAAAGGTACATCGAAATGTGCTACTTGTGGCAACAACCGTCGACGAACGACCTGGGTTAGCATCCACAATGTATGCCAGCGTGCTTGCGTAGATCCATCTAGATACACGTCAGCTAAGGTCTTGCAGATCGTATATAAACGTACGTCGAGAGGAACCCAGAGAGACAGAGCATAATACAGATTGCCACGACATGAACGTGCCTTTCGCAAACCCATGCATATCCAATTATAGCCGGTGGAAAAAACCACATGGCGGGCCGAGTGCTGGCCAATCGCATCTGGATTGTTGTGTTAAGATGCTTGTCGTACAGGTATATGAATATCATCAACCTCGGCGTAGCCTTGGCCTCCATTCTCTTGCTTCAACCTGGCGAATGTTCGGTCAGACCAACGGCCGCCAAGTAAGGACCCGCATATAGAACCTTCGACGCCAGTCAGTCATCGTCAATCCAACAAATAAGGACCTACCTATTCCATACGAGAGTAGAACTAGACCAATCTGGAGAGCGTCATAGCCGTAGTATTCGGATAACGTTCTCGAACAGGTATATAAAATACTGTAGCTGAAAGCGAATATCCAGCCTAGACATATACATGGCTCGTCAGGTCAGTATCGATTCGAACAACACTTACCAGAAGCAAATAATATTGTGAGATTATTTAAGCGTGTAAGAATCTTCAGAAGTGGAGGGAAGGGATTGACGTCTGCGAGCGACACGTTGACATCTTTCATACATGAAGCAGGTGCAATGGTGGGGCTATTCGCCTCGACGTTAAGATCCTCCATTTGCAGCGGAGAAGTTATGCTTTCTAGTGCAGGTTGTGCGAGCTTGTCAGTGGCAGAAAAAGCATGACTGGATTTGTCCAAGTGTTGCAGTTGCAGCTCCCCTTCCTTTGCTCTCATCTGCAGGACATTCTGATACGTCAGACTACGTTCCTTCCTGAACGTATCTTTGAATAGGAGAACCAGGGCAAGGAGAACAACTCCGGCGCAAATAGTCATGAACCAGAAGATTGAGCGCCAACCCAAACCCTGTGTCAGCACACCACCGAATACTGGGCCCAACGCCGGCCCCAGGAGCGGAGCAGAATAATATATGCCCATTTTAGTGCCCTCGCTCATGGGGTTCGTAGATATCTGCTAGTGTGGCTGCGGCAATTGACAAGAGCGCACTCGAGCTGATTATTGTAAGTAGTAACTCAGAGATTCGGTATAAATTCCTTACCCAACAGCTTGAAGAGCTCTCATTCCAATCACCAGACCAATGGTGTTGGACACGGCGACAATAGCAGAGGCAACTATGAATAATGCTACAGATGATACATAGACAAACTTGAAAGAATATCAACAGTTTATTGTTATGAGACAGAGTGCTCGACGAACCTTGCGTCCTTTTATTTCGCTGATGGCGCTCCATAGAAGCCCAGGGACTCCCTGAATAAGAATAAAGACCGATAACGTCCAGCTTATTTCCGATGTAGATGCCCGTAGGTCACTCTGAATATGGGCATTTGCAGCTGGGCGCAACTTATTTCAGTCTTCTGATCATTTGGGGAGGGAACAGTCATACGGTTCTGTATGTTGACAGCTAAGCCTGCGATCATGGAACCAGCTGAAACAATTATTAGAATGGTAGTCTACGGTCAACATGTCAGCCTTCTTTCAGAATGTAAGTGAGTGCTACTTACCTTGCGCGCATTGCCCCATCTGAAAGGATCATCTTCCACAACAGCGTGTTCAATGCCTGTCTTGATTTCGTCACAGAAGGCGGTAACTGGGCACCTAACTTCAACTGCGACGCGAGGAGTTTGTACATGTCGGGTACATTCCTCAGAGACCATGACATGAAAAGGGTGCAGGGTAAGCTGGGGGTCTGGCAAGTAACACCGACAGATACGTCAAACGCAAGGTTTTATATGAATCAAGTGAGGGGTCGGCGCTCAGGCCTCGACCTCAGGGAAGAAATGGCGGCGTGTGCTAATGATGGATGAGAGTGCACGCTGATGGGTTGACCGGTGGTGCTGGGGCACATGGGATCGGTTCGGCATGAAAAGTGAAGACGCTGAAACTATCCATGGCAACGGATCGTGTGCGTGTAGTGCATGTTTCGTCGGCCATAACTCGTACCGGTGGTGGGGCTAATTGTATCAACCAACTCGGTACAGTGCAGAATCTAAAAGTTTAGTCGCTTCAGGCAAACTTCGATTCCGAAGCATGGAGAAAAAGTTATATTTAGGCTTATGAAGAATAATTGCAGATCACGCGCCGCACAACCGCATCGGGAAACAGGCCAAGCGCGCGTCTATGATACCAGCTGAACGTTGAGCTTGAGTAAGTACAAGTCCTTATCACACTAAAACGGCAGTGAACACGATATGTCAGCAAAGATATTGATACACAAATGGGTAAGTTGAGCAATAGAGAAGATTTAGTCGTGAGGGCGGCGTTTGCTATGCAGATGGATTTCGCGTATGTGACGAACAAGACAATCTCTCCTCATGAGCTTGCCACATCCATTCCAGGAGCAGTAAACACGACGATACGAGGATCCTCCAACATGCTTGCGCATATGAACGACGAGGGTGTCAGCAGACACGACACCATTGCAGGGATCAGTTGCCTGTGACCACCTGCAACGATCTCGTGGCATTAATGTCGACACACCGGCCGGTATATCCAACATAAGATGGAAGGTGGGATCAGCCGGGGGCATCGAGATAGCCTGTCGGGTGACGAGGTGCAAGGATCGCGGGGTGCAAGGATCCGCAAGAGCTGGCTCTCGAGTGGTCTGCAACGCCTTTGGGCTGTGGGGTTCCTAAATGTGAATAAGGTCGCAGCACAGCGAGGACAAGTGCTGATCACTCACAGCAGAACGGCCGTAGCGGCTATAGCTTGTATCAGAAGTTCTTCCATGCCTAGTGATTTGACGCCGTCAGATAGGGTAGCTTACAAAAAATACCATTATACACTGGCGCAGTTATAATTCGACGGAAGCGTGTTGGAGACATGAGAGCAGTGGCAATTTCGAAGTTCGCGCTAAAAATAAGAACTTGTAAGAACAGCAACAGGCCACATAAGAACCACCGACTAGTTTAGAATTTGCTTTGTTTCATTTGATTTATTAAGAGGGTGCTCAGCATCATCAGTCGAGTGGGAGAAACCCGATGGTTCTCTAGGACATGCTGATGTGGAAGTGGTCAGTAGTTGGCCGCACATGTTTGCAGTCAGATAAGGAATATAGAAAGTATGGAGGCTGTAATTTATATGCGAAGATGGCACTGTTACTGGAGAAGTACTATCAGGCGTTAGCCTGCCAAACTAAGAAGTGGGTCGCAAAGTTCCAATCGTCAAAACCTTCTAGATCATGGCGCAGGATTCCGTATTGAGATCGGTGAATGGAGATTAATAGGCGTATAAATGAGGGTAGTTATGACACAATCGATGGAAATTCTGGTCCAGAAACTGGTTGAAAATGGCAGTAACCAGTGATAGGGTGAAGTTGCGCTTGAGCAGGAGAGTTTGAGACGTTTAAAAACCATCGTTGGTCCATGGAAGCGGTAGGAGAGTACTCGAAAAGGCGCAATATCCGGTTAGAAGGATTTTGAAGAGTAAAACGCCATTCGGACAATGATATATGATAGTTCGTGTGGGGTCGATAGGCCATTGAGAAAACGTGGTGGACAACATTCAACACAATCTAGATAAGCTTCCCTTATTCGCGGCGTTTTAAGCGGGAAATGAGTATGATACAACTCACTACGATCACTGATTGGACAGGTACACAGGGGTTGGCCCTTCGTGGTAACACGTTGTCCTGGATGGGGAGCCAGTTGCCAGGATGGAATGAACTGTACGACTATTCGTTGAGGCCATCCTTCCGATGGCCACCAGACTTTTAAATGTTGAAGGCAAAGCCTGCTAGATGCTGTGTCAGCAGCACAGAAATGATCAACGACCAATTGATAATTGGGCACGCGGAGGACATAAGGAAAACATAAAGCGAATAGCAAAATGCTTCATGGCGACAACAAAAGTGATACTTACGTAAAGACTCTTAAAAGTATGTTTCTCCTTTTTGCACTAAACCTTAGCACTTTAAGTTAGATTCCACGGACTAAAGAGTTGTTACATACTCTGACAAGCGACCGCCATCATGGCTAACACCACCGTCAAGGGCGCAATTGCCATCCATGGCCAAAACCCTCAGGCGAGTGTTTGCGGTACACGTTTTGATGATAGCTGACAATAGCATAGTTTCTAGTGGAGACCGTTATCCGTAATCGAATATGGGAATCAAACTATTGGAAGGAGCATTGCTTTGCTTTGACTGGTGTGTCCACCGCGTTTTCTAAGACGTCCAGCTCATCCTTTTCAATATAGCGGAGTCTCTTATCGACCAAGCCATTGCGCTTAGGTGCATCGGAGGTGTTTATGGCAATCAGCGCCCTACGGAGTTCCTGTGCTTGCTTCTGAAATTGCTTCAGCTTCAACCGGAAAAGGAGATATTGATAGAATATTTGCAAGCAGACGAGTTCAAGTGAGCATTATCATATGTACCGCCTGCTGATTGCTGATGCAAGTACTTAGATATATGAGGGCATTGGCCGCCATGTACATACGAATGACCTTCAGTGCAGTGGAAGTGTACGAGCTTCTCGAACCATTAATGAAGGACTTCAGAAAGCTTCGATACCGCGACATGGGTTTGTCGATCTTCATTTTTTTCGTTGGTATGCGTCTTACATCTCAACAGCAGGGTATTCACTAACTCATTTTGACGAATTCATATATTCGCTCCTCACTGAGGAACGAGTCTGTGACATCATTCTTCCCCGTAAAGCCAAGCGCTCGATACTTGAAGAGAACGGCGAGATTGGCCCTCGGAAGAGTCGTTTGCTTGATGCTATGGAGGGCAGGAGTGAACATGGTAGTGACAGGAGTCGTAGTTCCAGTCGAAGTAGGAGTAGGAACCCCAGCAAGAGCTCATACCGGTCACGGAGCCCCAGCGTTAGTAGGAGCAGAAGTCAATCTCCGTCAGAGAACGGTCGATACGTATCGAGGAGTCCTTCTCGTTCTCCATCTCGTTCACCCGACCGTTCACGCAGTGGAAGTATGTCTCCAGATAGGATGAACATCGAACCCATGAATGTATTATAATCTACTTAGCATGTCTACATCTTTTTGACGCCCTTGGTATCGAAAGTTTGGTCCTTGAAAGAGAGCAACTGCTTGGACAGTTCCTTCCATCGCTCCTCCACTTTTGGGTTCTTCTCAACAGCTTCAGGAGAAAGATATCCTCGGTTGCGCCAGTTGGTGTACCACACTTGAGGACATTACTTTTAGAAATAATCAAAGTTGAGGGAGGGAGACTCACGAATGTCCGTACGACGAGTCGGTGCTGCTGAAATACGATCTGCACGACCCTTGACACAATCACGAAGAGCCAATGGGTTGTAGTATTGGCAGAAAACACTTCCTCCAACGGACTCGACCGCTTTGATGGCAGTTTGAGATGCACGAGAAGGAGTGATGTGAATAGGCGTTTTCAAAAATGGAGCATTCTACATGACAATGAGTTGTACTAGAAGGATGCCTGAGAATAGAAACATACATCGCCCAGAAGTTTGATTCCATCGTGTACATTATGAATGCATCCGCTCAGCAACAATTCGCGGGCTGTGATAGGGTTCTCAGGCGATGATTGTAGTCGACCTTGGTCAATCCAATGCTGTATCCGGTCCAGATTAATGGGGGCGTACACCTTCCGGTTGCTTAACGGACCTGTCAGATGGTTATGAAACTAGCTGGAATAAAGAGCACTCACGGATTTACAAAGCCCTTCTTCGGGAACCTCTTCGTAATCGGTGTCTGACCACCCTCGAATCCAGCTTTTGGTTTGCCATTGCCTGCGCGAGCCTTCTGACCCTTGTGACCTCGTCCGGACGTTCCTCCGCGACCAGAGCCTTGACCTCTACCAAGGCGTTTTTGCTACCAAATAAAGTATTAGAAAATGTTGCATCAGAAACGATGACAGTGCCAACCGCGTGCTGTGAGTTTGGTCCGGGCGAAAGATTTGACAGTGTTATTCGAGCCGTCCTTGAGCGGAATACGGACGACATGTCCGCTAAAAGTAGAAGTTTAAGCAGTGGTTGTCTCTCGAAAATTCCCCGTGGCCGACTCCCACGTCCACGCTTATGGCATGCGTAAGACATTTGCCCTGTGGTTGTAACTTTTTCATGTTCTTTTCGTTCATTCGTCATCCTAAAGCCTAGGAATCAAGCTTTTCTGTTGACATTCCTCTTTGCTGAAATTTCTGCATCCCAATTCTTGGCCTGCGATTATTACTCCCATTACACTTACGCGTCTTGGGTTCAATTTAATTAGGCTCTGCTCACTCTGGCTATTTGCAGTTCGAAATGGATATATTTCTGCACAACTCGGCGCGCATCTGTTGTGTCCCACGTGCTCGACGAGCTCAATGCCCTGCTCATGATGTTGGATATGCTGTTGAGCCATATTCAATGTATAATTCATGTCCCGAATTGCATCCACATGTCTACGCAACTGCGAAGGTCCTCTTTCTGTTCCTGGCTCCAGTCCACGCTGTATTTGCATTTCACCTCTTTGCGGTTCAATTGAATGCAGTGCCACTGCCACATTTGATAGTTCTTGTCTTTACATTGGTGTTGGAACGTTGACGAGCAGGGTGCAGGTGTTTGGATGCGCACATTTCGAATTTGAAATATACTTACAACCACCGCACTGTCTTTAGCCGCCATTTCCCTCTCCCACTTGTTCACGTATCCTCTGTTGCTTAATCTAACTTGCGGCTGTGTTACAATGTGATGACCCTCTGTGGTTTCACTATCTCGTGCACTAGGTGGAGCTCACTCTGTTACATGATTATTTGTTATTTGGGTGATCCCTCTTCGCTCAACTCGTGTATACAGCTAATTTTAAGCCGTGTGGAGCCGTGGTCCGTAATCTTCTGCGACGTTTATGACAGTCTGGTCGTCACCACCTTACGTCTTCCGGGCACACTCCGAGTAGAGAATGGGGGCAGTGAAATTAGTGGCCCTGAGTAAAATTGAGTTTGTGCAGAATATGGCTTTATGTACTAAGGCATGGCGCTGGGGCCGACAGCCGGAAAGCCAGACAATTGTCGAAGCCGATTTCGTTATGTGCATTATTAAAAGATGCTAAGAGCTTCTAAGGGACTCCTAACTATGGAAGCCTGGACACTCGTGCTCAATTACCCAGCTAGAATTACCATATATAGGCTATGCTTCTGCAGGACCACAAATACCGCCAACGTGAATAAGAAATAATATTATGTACTACATGTGTCAAACAAATGTATAACAGAGATTTGCTGTCCATACTACTACACCAAGCCTACTAGGCAGAGCACGAGTGTCCAGGCTATAGATGGACTGCTGTGAGGTCAATAAAATACTACTGCAAGAAATCAAATCAAAAAATATCAACAAATGTCAGTCACCATTTGTCCATCTCATCCACATCACCATCTGAGTTGTCAGAAAACTCCCATATGACTAAACCATCATGGTCCAGTCCAACAATGTCTTTATCAATGCCACTCATGGTTTCAGACTCATCATCATGCACAAGACTCTCTAGCTGATGCAAATGCTCATCACCTGCATAGATATCAGCCTCTGTGTTCAACATGTGAGCCACAAGTGGACAGATAACATACCAAGGCCAAGTCTACCACCCACCCTGCCCATATAGTATGTGCTGTTATTCTCCTCATCATAAAGCAAGTCCTGGTGGTTCTCTAAAAGTGGGAGACCTTCTTCAACATCTTCAATAGCAGATGGTATCTCCTTGTTGACCTGCAGCATGTCAAGTAATTGTAGGTACATATCCCAAGCAGACTGCCTTGTGACTGATGGGCAGCCCAGTTCCTCATAGCAGCACTGTATAAGCTTCCCAAATGATTGTGGCACAAGATTGAAGACAGCATGAGAATGATCAATATATAGATTGTGTATGTGATCTGTGAAATAACAGTAAGAACAAACAGAATGAGCACACATGGTTTTGCTTACTTTAAAGTCCAGGGTGCCAAAGTTATTAGCTGACTGGTAGATGAGGTTCAGTACACTGTGGGGGAGAATCTTGTTTTGGTCTCACCTCTTTCAGGTGTTATTCACTCAGTCCTGGTATGTGTCCAGCTCCTGCTGCAACCATGGTATAAAAACCCATTGAAACACCATCCTAAAGCTATTATCAGACTTGGAGTGAGATAGACAAGTCAGATACATACATTTGGAGAGTATTATTGCTATTGTACTAACCTGACATTACTCCATGGTCCAAAAGTGACTCAAATCCTGGTGTGAACTGGCATTGCATTTGTGACCATGTTATCTTGAGCATTACATTTTTCTTATTATACATCCAGTGATGCTGCAAAGTACCCTGTAGCACAGGATCATGCCATTGACAGAGCATAGTATGTGTGTTGGCAATCCCAAAATTTTCTGACCCAGGGTCACTCTGAGTCACCATGGGCATATCTAGTAGTAGGTAGATTACAACATCAGTGAAGAACCAAACCAGAAAGGAAATACTTACACCCAAGCATATCAAGTGTGTTGAGGTAATAGCTGAGGATCAGCTGTGGGTTCCAGTTCAAGTGCCAAACCCTCATCCACATGATCCTACCTGAGAACAGCTTGATGCCAGTATGGAGGCTGAGACCATACCTAAGCCACTTATCATGTTGATTAACTGTGAATATATTGTTAACTCCCACTGCCCAAAATCACCTCTTTCAAAGGTGATTGGCCTTGTGCTGGAGGACAAGGTCTGGCTTGTATATAGCAAAGTAAGAAGTTACCACATTCCTACAGTACAAAAAGATACAACAGTTAACAATTAAGATATGATATTTATGAACATACTACAATACCTGGCTATGCTCATATTTTGTTCATGAAACAACAAGCTTACCATTTCATGCACTCCAGCTTGTGGATAAGTTAGGTGCAGACCAGTCATAGTCTTGTGGATGGTATTGACAGTATGATGTTGCTAGCACATTCTTTGAAGGTCCATGCCCTTGCGAATCTTGAGAAATGTTGTGAGTCTAAGTACAGTGTCAGAATGTGAATACATTGAAGGGATGGTGAAACTTGAAGAGAGAACTAACCCAAGACCATAACATGATGTATCAAAGTGTTTCTGCAATTCTGCAACAATTTGCTTATCTGTCTGACATGCCTTCCAAAGGCAAAGGATGTATGGTTGAGTTATATCCAAAGGTGCTAATTTGATGTGAGTTCAGTTAGCAGTGTTGGTCTAGAACCACATGATGTACATGTAGGTTTCCATTGGTTGGGCATAGTGACAGGGGGGATGCTAGAGTGACAGGGGAAAGAGTAACAAGGGTACAGGGAATGCTAGAACAATGGGGAACATTAGAATGAGGACATCTAAGGTGAGTATATAGGTATTTAAGCTAAGCATGTACTCTAACTCCAAGTCTGATGTGACAATCATGTTGACTGTTATGATAATATCCAGCTGTTTGGCCTCTATTCATTTTCCCTCTCTTTCACCCTTGCTGGACTCTTTCCTCTTTGGGCAATTGCCCCTTTTCTCTTTCTTGATTGTTTCACTGACCATTCTGTTAGTTGTACCATGTTACTGGCTCATCCAATGACTCACTGACCCTATGCCCTTACTACCCAACTGGTACCTTTTACTTACTATGATATTCTGACTCATCATGACTCACCATGACTCATGTTCCCTTTACCCTTACCGCTCAACTGGTACTTTCTACTTACTTTGGTATCTTGACTTGCTATGACTTGTTCACCCTCTACCCTTACTACTAATATGGCAGACCTGCCCTTATCCCTTCCAATGGTATATATACCTCTTGGGTAGCACTTGTACTCTCTAACTTGAATCTACTTGGTTCATACTGCCTACCCTTTGAGCCCTAAGCAAGCTCTCCTCTTTAGCAAGTACTTTCATTGGAGCTTGTCACTGCCAATGTCTCTAGCCTTGTGAAGAGAACAATTGATGACTTACCATCATAATCATCAATAATCAATCATAGCCCTTGCAGCTAGATTAATTGCTGTGAACTTGTACCTACAAATGCTCACTGGTTGCAGTAGGCTTGGTGTGAGCCCCAATTCAAGTTCTCTGTTACTCACTCACTTCATTTGCTTGCTACAAACTTAGCTTGATCATAACATTGACTCTAGCCTGCAAATGGTAGTTTTCACTATACTTTTCTTGTTGTTACTTTCCCTAGGTTATGTTCGCATTTTTGCTGCTTATGTAATCATCTTCCCTTTACCTAGGACTCTACAGTCACTACTCAGTTTTCCCTTGTCTCCAATTCTTGGTTGCTCCCCATTCACTTGGGTTATTTAGTAGCATCCCCTAGTTATAGCTTCCTAGTTATAGCTTCTTCAGCTCGCTAGCTAGCTCCTGGAACATAGTTTCTGTCTTTGGCTTGAAGTGTCTCCCTTTCACTCATTTTATCTCTTGAGCTTGAGCCTAGTCCATTGATTCCCTTGGGTCAAACATTCTTGCTTGCAGGTGTAGCAGCTAGGCAGAGCATTTACCATTATACTGGCTAGGTACTTTCACTAAGTGTCCAGTCAGGTTGTGTCTTTTACACCAAGTTGGATAGAGTTGGATGGATAACCTAAGGACAGATAAGTTATCCCCATTGAGTCTTTCACTGCCACTCACTGCCCTAATTCTATAGAATAGCATTGTCTAAGTTGAATGTATTGTCCAAGAATGTTGTCCAATGCACTCACTATCTTTCCCACTCTAGAGTAAACCCTTCTCCCAACAAAGTTTCTTCAAGTTCATGAAACTTATCTTGTGAGATCTGCTGCTCATCCTGCCAAGCTCATACACTAATCTTTGTCACTTGATTCCCCACTCTAGTAATTCCTTACTATGCTAAAGCTTCTTCAAGTTTGGTGAAGCTCATCTTGTGAAACTCCTACTGCTCCTCCTACCAGTACCTTCTGTCAGATGATCATTTTCCCTTTCATGTTGTTTTGCAAGTCCTCATTTTTGGAGCTTGACCTGCTCCTCACAAGCCCCTGTGCACAATAAGCACTCTTTAGGGAACAGTCTTCCATCATGTGTGCCCTGCACTCTCAATGTGACTTTACTGGTGGTCAACATTCCTGGTTTTTCAAAGGATTAGTATGTTCTCTTAACATTCTTAGCTATTGAATTTTATTAACTTGTCATATTTAAGCCATGCAGCATCTCTGCATCTGCACTACTGCTACTATTCACAGTCCATTTCACAGTGCCTCTCATTCCCATGGCAGACCCTAACAATGTCATTTGTCAGTTTACTGAAGACACTTTTGCTGCCAAAGATTGGATCTGTGAGCAGCCCTCTTGTCATGCCTAGATCAACAAAGGCCAACCTTATCACTACATGCAAACAATTAAACCTGGCAAAGCAGGGCATCATGTACTATATGTAGCCTGCTATGCATTGTATCAGACAGTCTGTGACATCAATGAAGAGACCCACAGGTGAGTTGATAATGTATATTTTATCACAATGACACAATCTAACTACTAACTACTAGTAGCAGCATCATATCTGACATCTAGTGCACCTGCACCATCTACTGCAGCCAGTAGTTGTCAGCCTAATCCTCAGATGATCCAGCAGTCAGTGAATGCTGCCCAAAGGAAGTGTAAGTCATATCAATCTTTGTATGATAGGACTTGCACTGACATTATCACAAACAGCAAGCATTAATCCTCCTCCTGTTGTGGCAGTTCCTGACTGGATTAATGCCACTATGGGTCCACTGCCAATCTCTCACCACCATGCAATCACTGGCCCTGATGTAGTTATCCCTACATCTTGGCAGGGGTTAGCAGCAGTGCCAATACCATCAAGGCTTACCAATGCTATTGGATATTCATTGCACCATAAATCTCATATACAGGAGAATGTCTCAGATGGGCTAAAGCTGCCTATGCTAATCCTGGTATTACACTGGCTATGCTGGCAGCTGAAACTATTTCTCTCAAGATTTCAGCTGTTCATGAGGCAGGGGGGCACAAGAAATCAAGAGACATATCAATTGGAGTACAGTCTTTCCTTAGTATGCTCTCTTGAATGTATGCTAATGTATTTTTATCTAGAATATCTGTGAAGGCAAGAAGGACATTGATGCCTACATTGATGCTCCAGGTCTTATCAATCTTGCTTTAGAGATGGTGCTTCCTAAGCTATGTGCTCTTGGTAGCATATTTTCATGGTGTGATGAGGAGTTCATTGTACAAGACTCTGGATGAGTGGACTTGTCAATGCACCAGCCATTAATTCTGTACTTCTACTCACAGTGTCTGTAGCCAGGCCAAAAAGGCCCCAAAAGTTCCATCAAGGGCCCTACATTCAAGATGAAGCAATTTTCCCTCATGGTGGTCATTCTAGAGCATCAGTGGACAGAGTTTGAAGATTAGCAAGAAGATAATGAGATGGTATGCTTATGTATTGTACACTCATTGTCTATGCTAACTTACACTCAATTATACAGGCTATTGAGTGTTTAGGTCAGTCCTCTAATGCCAATGGTGCTATTGACAATGTTAATACCAAGGATGGTCATGTATCAGTCAAGGACACCTCATACTTGTACTTAGCAGATGATGCACTGTCTGCAGTCCAGCTCCCTTTATGTCACCCAGCACTTGACACAGTGGCCAGTGCTGCACTCCCCTCATTACATGAGACAAAGTCCCACTTGCTGGTCCCCACTACTACCAGCATCTTCATCAAATGAATGCATGAATGTGCAAGCAGCTCTAGCACAATTTCACCCCCTCACAAAGTACAGGTACCTCCTGCATTGTGTCTGGATTGTGATCATCTCAGGGAGGCCCTTAAGATTGGTAGAGGTGCTGACTTGAATATCAAACAAAGTATGTTACAGTCCTTTAGTCTATTCAATGCACTCACTATTTAGTATCAGTCTCCAAGTTTCAGAATGAAAATATTCATTTTCACTTGATCCCTACCTGACCCCTCAATGAGCTCTTGAAGTGCACCCACTACCACTTATTCTCAGTAGATAATGCTGATTCATTTGTTGGCTATGTGACAATTGACCTATCCATTGAAGGCCATATTGGAATTGGCAGATTCAAAACAGCATACCAAGGATGGTTGATACTAATGGTGCCTCCTAGGTCTGGTCTGGGGCCATGGGCAAGTCACAAGGTTGTTGTGAAATGTTCATTCAAAAGAGTGTACCCTCAAGACATGCCTGCATCTAGCACAGATTACAGAATTGGATGCTTTGCACCATCTGATGAGCTGGCCAAGCTGTTCAGAGAAGCAAATGTCCTATACTGGGCAAAAGCTTTGTTAGATCTTGTCTACAATTTCATTGACCATGCAATTGCAGATACATCTGATCCTTCACCATTTAATATTCCACATGTGCAGCTTATTGAAGCCAGCCTTGCACTATCATACCCTCAAAGCAGTGGCAAGTCTTCATTAAAGACTGTGATGATACCATGTAGAGCTTTCCTCCTTGAGGAGGTTATTGAGGGTGAAGATTTCACCAAGTTTATTCATAATATGGATCCTGACCCACTGCTTGACCCAGACAAGGATGGGTATGACTTTGTGCTGTTTTTGGCATTCATGCAGCATGTCCAGTATGTGAAGACAGGTGGGTTAGTCTTTATATCTGATTATCAAGGTATATGCTCCAGGTCTATGACCCAGTATTCTATATTCTCAGTGTGATTGATATGGAATTGAACAAGCAGTATGAAGCTACTGACTGATCCACAAATCATGATGCACTTGTCTGTTAGCCAAGGCAAAGATATATTTGGGGAGGGCAACATTGAGAAGGTGGTCAGTGTTACAGTTTCTCTTTTTCTTTCACCTCTTCACCTATTTCACTAACACTTCTTAGACATTCTATTATATTCCATCATACAATTCCATTTCTATTTTCTGATTCGCTATTTACCTTCAATCTCTGATTCATTTATTAAAGCTTCACTCTAATACCTTTATATATACTCTCTCTCTTACACTTGTACCCTTTAACTTGACCTACACAGACCAGGGCCTGCAATATACTGCTTAACTCACACGACTCATGAATAGGTTTACACTTTAGATCATTTATTTCCATCTAGTCATTCTTATGAATGCTGAGCATAACAAAAGGTCAAGTTACTCCACTACTGTGTGGTTCCCTCAAACTCATGCCCAGAACCAGAAACCATTTCGACCATTGCACCGACTCCTCCCAGTTTCACCTGGGATGAACAAAAGAATGAGTTTTTCTGTCTTGACACCAAAGGCAACAGATACTCTCTAGACCAGTGGGCAGTGTACTATGCTGACCAAGCCCTGAAGAACAAAGTTTGGAATTTCTTTACCCAAACTTACAAACGATCCACCACTACTACCATGCCTAAAGAAATTGGCAAGACCCCCTCTCCTTTCAATGGCAACACCTGCCTTGTTCAAGGATGGACCCTCCAAGTTGAGGCCTACCTTGACATGAATGACGAAGTATATGACAATGATAAGAAAAAAGTTATCTTTGTGCTTAGCCTTATGACCAAGGGTGAAGCCACCAAATGGGCCAAAGGCCAATTGAAAGCTGCAGTAGCAGCTAAGACTTACGGAACCTGGGAAGATTTCACTAAACAATTTAAATCTACCTTTTTCCCAAAGAACATTGAACAGACTGCAATCTGTCACATCTCCACTCTTAGACAAACCGGCAGTGTAGCTGCATATACCTCATTATTCTGCACCATTCTCGCCGATACCAGCATCAACAAAGAGAACACCAAGATCATGTTCTTTAGAAACAGCTTAAAGCGTGAGATTACCTCTGCTATTTACGCCTTTGATATGACCCCTACTACCATCGAATCATGGCTGGAGAAAGCCTTAGATGTCAAGGTCTGAAGGACCTTAACAGCACCTCTGTCCTATACCAAGGCACGCAACCCTTATGCCATGGATATAGATAAAGTAGAAATAGACGAAGAAGACAGTGAGAAGAAGATGAGGAAAACTTACCTGACTCCTCAAGAACGGGAGTGAAGGTGCAAGGGCGGCCTTTGCTTCAAATGCAGCAAGAAAGGTTAGCCACAGACTGCCCTAACCATCCCATGGTTACAACCAACACCAGGAAGGTAATCAAGGAGTCATCTGACAATGATTACAAAGAATTTCAGGAATGGAAGGCATTTAAAGCATGCCAGATGAAGAAAAGTGGTAAGAAGCCAGTTAAGAAAGATGAAGGTAGCGATGAGGAGGATTTTGCTTAAGGGAGCCTGCACCAGTGTCAGACACTCCCAGAATCAGACTAGTAATACAATCTGTTGGCAATACTAATTCTATTTGTTTGCCTTTAACCATCAGATTGAACAAGTTCCCAAAAACCACTGTAGCTGCTGCTCTAATTGATTGTGGCACAGAAGGCCAGTTTATCAATGAGAAGTTCATACTTAAAGAAAATATTCACATGCACAAACTTGAAACCCCAATACCTGTGCGTAATGTAGACAGCACATTAAACAAAGCCAGAAGAATCACATGGTACTGTGAACTTTCATTTTTGATCAAAGATGTCCCTATGCAGAAGCAATTCTTTGTAACCTCTCTAGGAGGAGAAGACGCTATCCTGGGAATGACTTGGCTAAAGAAAGAAAACCCAGATATCGATTGGACTAATCAAGAAGTCCACTTAAGGGAGCATACCCTGAAAAAAGCAACCATCGAAGAAGTCAAAGACAAAGATGTATTTTACAATGTGCTTGAAGAACTAGAAGATGAATGGGACCCTGCTAACAAAACTCTCCCACACCTTTTAGATCCCATCAATGACAACGACGATTTTTATACCTATATCCGGAAAACTGACAATATCTCACAGACACTTGCCCAGGACACCACTAAACCAAAGAAGACTTTTGAAGAACTCATACCTGAAGAGTTCCAACAATATAAAGATGTATTTGGTGATGTAGCTAATGGTACCCTTCCTCCAGAATGCAAATACAACCACAAGATTGACCTCAAAGAATCCTTCGAACCACAGAAATGCAAAATTTACCTGCTTAATGCCAAAGAAGATAAGGCTATGAATGATTTTATTGATGAATATCTAGCCACAGGGACAATCATTCCTTCTGAATCCCCTCAATCCTCCCCCTTTTTCTTTGTCAGAAAGAAAGACGGTTCCCTCCGACCTTGCCAAGATTATCGCTACCTGAACAAACACATGGTTAAGAATAACTACCCTTTACCGCTAATCTCTGATCTTATAGATAAGCTAAAGGATGCCAAGATCTTTACCAAGATAGATATCAGATGAGGATATAATAACATACATATGAGAAAATCTGATCAATGGAAGGCAGCTTTGCTACTTCTAGAGGACTTGTTGAACCCACAGTCATGTTCTTTGGAATGTGTAACTCACCCGCCACCTTTCAGTCTATGATGAATGACCTGTTTGGAGACATGATCCAGGAAGGATGGATTATTATATACATGGACGACATACTCATTTTCTCTAGAGACAATGAAACCCATCGCATCCGAACCCATAAAGTACTTCAACAACTCCATGATAACCTCCTCCACCTTAAACCTGAAAAATGCACATTCAATGTAATGGAAATTGAATACCTTGGCATGATTATCAAACCCGGTTCTATGGCTATGGACCCTGCTAAATTAAAGGGTATATCTGAATGGAAGACTCCCACAAAAGTGAAGGAAGTCCAATCATTCCTCAGATTCACTAATTTTTACCAACAGTTTATTGCTGATTATTCTTCGATTGCCAGACCCTTAATTGATCTAACCAAGAAAGATGAAGGATTCTCTTGGACCACTGAACATGAGGAAGCTTTCAATAAGCTGAAATGTATCTTTACCTCATCCCCTATTCTTCAAATACCCGATAAGAATTCTCCTTTTGCTATTGCCACTGACACCTCACTATATGCAACCAGTGCAGTACTTCTCCAAAAGAACAATAATGGAGACTGGCTTCCTTGCTCCTTCCTCTCTCAATCCTTTAACCCTGCTGAATGAAATTATCAGATCTACAATAGAGAGCTACTCACTATCATCTGAGCTTTGAAAGCCTGGAGACACTATCTCCTCGGATCTCCCTTCCCTGTCCTTGTACAAACTGACCACAAGAACCTTCAATATTTCAGAGACATACAAGACCTCAACCACCATCAAGCCAGATGACAGACATTCCTTTCACAATTTGAACTCCAAATCCAACACATACCTGGTAAAGAACTTATTATCCCAGATTTACTTTCTCATAGAACAGATCACCTTCCAGATGTAGATGTCAAAAAGGACAATACTAGTATTCAACTTTTACCTGACTCTTTATTCCTTAATGTTGTGGACACATCATTCACTGACAGACTACATATATCCTCTGCCATTGATCCTGTAGTTCACACAGCGCTTCAAGCACTTACTGACTCATCTATTCCCCCTCCTCTCCATTTGGCTCTTTCTGATTGGAAATTGAGCCACAGAATACTTACTTATAAAGGACTTACTTACATACCCCCTGGAGATCTCAGATGAGAACTCACTTCCCTCCATCACAACTCTCCCACCACTGGACATCCTGGATGTTTCAAAACCCAAGAACTCCTCTCTCACAATTACTGGTGGCCTGGACTAGCCACTTTCATAAAGAACTTCGTAGACAGTTGTTGCATCTGCCAACAGAACAAAGTAAACATGCACCCATCTACCCCCCTCTTTCCCCTATTCCCGCTCCAATCTCTAATCAACCCTTTGCCCACTGTTCAGTAGACCTGATCACAGACTGACCCCTTTCCAATGGCTTCAACTCCATTATGGTTGTGGTTGACCATGGACTTTTGAAGGGGGTAGTTTTCACCCCTTGCCTTAAAACTATAGATGCTGAAGGCATCGTGAACATTTTCTTTTCCAAAGTTTTCTCTAGATATGGACTATATGATAAAATTATCTCTGACCGCAGACCTCAGTTCACTTCCCAATTCCAGATTGAACTCAGAAAACTCCTTGGATACAAGAATTCCCTTTCCACCACATTTCATCCTCAAAGTGATGGAGAGACTGAACAAGTTAACCAAGAACTTGAAGTCTACCTTTGGATCTTTTGCTCTAACAACCAGATGGGTTGGGCACCTATGTTACTACTTGCTGAGTTCATCCATAACTCATGACATCATTCTGCTTGTGGCACATCCCCCTTCTACCTCATGATGGGTTATCACCCACATCATCTCCCTGACCTTCATCCGAAATCCAATATCCCTAACATAGAACAACATCTCACTATTCTTAACAAAGCACATGATGAAGCACTAGCTGCTCATGAACTCACATGCAATACCATGCATCAATGAATTACATCTAAATTTGTACCATTCTCTAAAGGCAACAAAGTCTGGCTTGAAGCCAAGAATTTACACCTCAGATACCCTAATTGGAAACTTGCTCCAAAACGAGAAGGACCATTCACCATCATTGACATATTATCCCCTATAACTTATTGACTTGCCCTACCCACGCAATGGTGCATCCACCCCGTCTTCCACACCACACTCCTTTCTCCTTATAAAGAGAATGATATCCATGGCCCTAATCATATTACACCCACACCTGATCTCATTAATGGTGAAGAAGAATACAAAATAGAAGCCATCGTCAGACACCAAGGCTCTTCTTCTAGATGCCAATATTATGTTAAATGGAAAGGATTCCCAAGTTCCGAGAATGAATGGATGAAAGAAGCAGAACTAGGTAACACTTCTGAAACTCTCTTTTCTTATAAACAATCACATCATCTTCTTTGATAGTAGTCGGTGCCTACCACCCTTACAACAGGGGTCATGTTACAGTTTCTCTTTTCCTTTCACCTCTTCACCTATTTCACTAACACTTCTTAGACATTCTATTATATTCCATCATACAATTCCATTTCTATTTTCTGATTCACTATTTACCTTCAATCTCTGATTCATTTATTAAAGCTTTGCTCTAATACCTTTATATATACTCTATCTCTTATGCTTGTACCCTTTAACTTGACCTACACAGACTGTCATATCCCACAATCCAGACCCACGTTCCATCATATTCCCACGCCTTCCGAGCCTACATCCAGACCCCACATCATATCCAGCTCATTCCAAGATCCCCTTCCACTGTGCTCCACACCTCAGCAGGATCGACTATGCTCTGGATTTACCCCTGAGCTCCGGACCATCGGATCCTCACTGCTAGCCTGATCCATACAACCCTATCCTGTCCACCCCATGCGCACTTCATCCAGCAAGACATCCAGACTTCACCTCATCTCAGATTCCGGAACTATATCCACCTTCTTGTATTCCGGTCCTGTATCCACCTTGTCTTCCAGATCCCCAGATCTCCGGACCTATTCCCACCCTCTGTCCGATATCCTGCGCCTATCCCCATTTAGGCATTCTCTGCTTTCCGGCTTTCGGTTACCTCTTCTTCCATCTTGCTTATTGATCCTTGTACGAGTCTTCATCTCCGAGTTCATTTACTTATGTTCTGTCTTACTTACTAATGTGTTTCCACATGCTCGTACATAGCCTTGCTCCTTTGCTTACTGATCCCCTCAGATATTGTTCAGTATACAACCCCTGTAGATACTCCTGTAGTTCCCTAGTTTGAATATCAACTTAGACTTGCCCAATCCTCTCTTGGACTTTGGTCCACCTAAGTCTGTCCTACCCATCAGGCCTAGGGATTGATTCCCTAGGCCAGAGCTCCACCTTTCCAGCACTTACCCTCTTTCTGGACTTTGGTCCACTTCCTGTCTCTCCAACTCTACCTTAGGGTAGTCTACCTCTGTTTGTTTCTACATCGGACTTCATCCAATGTAGCCCCTATTCCTTCTGGGCCTCCGGACCTCCTGTCCCTTGTACCTCCGGGCATCCTGTCCATTGGACGTTCCACCCTCCGTACCTTCGGATGTTCTGTCCTCCTGTCCATTGGACGTTCCGCCCTCCGTACCTTCGGATGTTCCGTCCTCCTGTCCTTCAGACATCCTGCCCTCCTGTCCTCCTGTCCTCCTGTCCTCCTGTCCTCCTGTCCTCCTGTCCTCCTGTCCTCCTGTCCTCCTGTCCTCCTGTCCTCTGGGCCATCAGACCTCCTATCCTTCCATCCTGTTTCCTGTAGAAGTATCACCTTGCAGTGGGAACTCTCCTGAGCACTTCCTGCATTCCTCCAGAACTCTCCTGCGCTCCTCTGGACATTTCCCGCGCTCCTCTGGAAGTCCTCTAGCGCTCTCCAGCAGAGTAGCCAGCCACCGGAAGTCCTCCGGACTTCGTCAGACCATCATCAGACCTCATATGAAATGAAGGGCACATACTCGGGTAAGGGGCACAGCGTACGAGCTGAGGCCAAGCCCCTCTGAGTCAGTCTCTCTCCCCCTTGAGCAACATGGTTCTTAACACAGACCAGGGCCTGCAATATACTGCCTAACTCACATGACTCGTGAATAGGTTCACACTTTAGATCATTTATTTCCATCTAGTCATTCTTACAAATGCCAAGCATAACAGTCAGTGAATTTGAGAAACACCATGTTTGCAACATGTTCTGCAAATGGCCAGGATTTGGACTTGAGACACTTGGGGCAGAAGTAGCTTAGATTGTGCTATGTTTGGCTTGGGATCATGTTTTTTGAACATGCTACATTTAGCTGTGTTATTATGTAGGATGATTTTTTTGATATGGTGTTCAACAGATTGATCAATGTGAATTCAGAAATGGTTGGTCAAAGAGTGTCAACAAGCAAGGTAACAAATAGGTATGTCACTAGTCAACATATACAAATATGCAAGCATGGTGCTCGAGGTCCAGTTACCATAAGCAGCAATTTTAGCTGAGTAATTGAGCACGAGTGTCCGGGCTTCCATACCTAACACCGTTTTTACTTTTCCTGACTCCCATGATAAGTGGGGAAGTTCTGTCTCAGCGTCTGCAGCAAATGCACCCGTAGGAATCCGGCTGCCATTCAAGAATCCAAACTTATTTGGCTGTGATTTTGTCCAATAATTAAATCAGGCAACTGCAGGGGTAAACCCCTGGTGTTGCAGGGTTGCAGGTCCTGCACCCATACCCTCCAAGTGGGCCCTGATTTTGCCATGGGTGGATGGGTAAACAGATCACACAGCAACCCGTCAAGGGTATATGTGCGGGTCGCATGCAAATTCGAGCAGTTCGTTTTACAAAATGTAGAGATGTTTCAGGAGGACAAGACTGAGAGGCTGCTCCGCTGGCTTCGTAGCAATAGTGATCATATAGGTGATGTAAATCGTTCTGGAAGAACCCATCGATAGTGACCCCGGCGCAGGAGGAAAATTAGCCCGCCTCCTCGCAAGGTCGTTGCGTGGGATAAATAAACAAACAGGAACTACTGAGAGCATAACTGCTTAAAACGAAAGGTGCTCCCGAAAGCGATATTCAAAACGATGACGCTGATCGGTAAATGGATCCCAGAAGGAATCACGAACCACGCGCAACAAAGTAGACCTCGTCTATACGATAGAACGATGCTGATCTTCAGCGTCGACCTTGCTGGGAATGTCGCTATGGACCATAACCCGTCGGTTGACCGGCTGTCCATGCATTTTCTTATCTCTCGAAGCGTGTCGTCTATGAGTGCGGGACCGTCGATGGGCTTCCCACTGAGAGCCATCTTCGACCATGAAGGGCTGCGACGGATCAAGCGTACACGCACGGCACACCACCTTCTTCCGCGCCCGCAATATTTCTGTGGGACTACCCAGCTGTTGGCTAAAATATCGAGGATCCCAGAATGCGATGGACGTACCTCGTAGGTTTGACGTCGATCGTCAGCATCTCCCGCGCCCTTTCGGACAGTAATAGGGGATCGACCAATGTCTCATTGCCAAGGAAAGCTGTCATGATCCATCAGTGCGAGCACGAGGTGGACAGAGAGCACGTACCTTCAACGATACGTTCGCCTTGGTTGAGAACATGAGATGTCCACTGGTCGCCGAGTTCTTCCGGGGATAAATCATGCCGCCTGAAATTTGATGTGCAAAAATAGTAAACTCACCAGTGGCGTCTAAAAGGTAAACCGGGAGGAGGGCAGCCGCATGATCGCCACCTCCATTCGCGCTATAGATAGCAGGAAGAAGCTTGTTCTTCAACCACCGTATCTGACGCTTCGAATATTGCCTCGTCCCGTACTTCATTTGCTCCACAGCGGACGCAAAAACCTTCTCGGAGGGCTCTGCAGAAGCGAGATAGTCATGAAACTCTTTATATCCTAGGTCTTGTAAGTCGGTGTCGTAGAAAAAAACCGGACGAAATTCACCGATAGACTGATAGATGCCGACAGTATAATCAGTCTGCTGCACGGCTGATTCGTCGGAAGGCCCTGCGACGACTCCGTCAGGCGAACTGCATGCGGGGGAGGAAGCGATCGCTCGGAGTTCTTTGATTTCATTCAACAGCCCTTCCTGAACGAGCCTGTCAGTATGCGGTCGATCGATCAAGACCTTCCTGACCTTGATCATGTCGTCTACCCTTGCATCCAAGCGCTCATTCAAGATGGAAGGCTCGGCATAGAGCCAGAAACACAGGGTTCGATACCTGATGCTAGTTCGGTGAAAATGCCACGCCGCTGATAGGAGAATTCAAACCTCGGAATCAACGCCGTTTTAGACTGCTCGATGATAATTTCGCTCGGGGCCTTCCCGGTGTCTTTGATCACACGAAGGCTTCCCATCACTTTGCGCGTATCTCTCCAATGCCATCGCTGAGCGACTGGTTCGTCGAGCGCAGTGAGAAGTCTGTGCAGCAACATCGCATCCTGAGGGTGAGATGCTGCGGATGGAGGATGCTCTGGAAGCGCATTGAATAGCTCGAGGAGTTCGGGAGGCAAGTTGGCAATGGACTGCGCGACGGAATCCGATAACGTTTGCCCTGGAGTGGGCAGCCGATTCGGAAACATGAGATGTTGGATCCAATAAGATGTACCGCCGACAATAATCGGTATCATGTCCATCCGGTGCGTCTCGTCGATCTGCGATCAAGTTGAGACCGAAGTGACGGGGAGGATAAGCAGATAATTTACCGCCTTGATAGCGTCTTGGACCCACTGGCCCACAACGTACTGCTCCCCAGGCTGCTTGAAGTCCATGAGAAGGTGCTCGACTCCCATTCTTTCCGCGACTGGGACTTTGTTCGTGATCACGTCCATCCCAGTGTATACTTGCATGGAGTCGGCGTTGATGATCCTCGCGCCTCTCCATCCGTGTATTCCTTGAGCAATCTTGAGAGCCAGCTCGATGGACAGCTTGGACTTTCCGACGCCCGTGGTCCCACAAATCGTGATTATGGGTCTGAGATTTGACATTTCTGAGGCAGAAGCGGGAGATCTCCAGCATCGAAGGCTATTATCTATAATGTGTCAGTCGGATATGAGCCGTAGGGCCAGCTTACGTGGCAAAGACCGCTACCATCATTTTTCTAATGTTGTTAGCAAAACTCGGCAGTTTTGCAAACCGGACTAGTGGTAAAACTGGCTGTGCCTGTTCCACAGCAGAACTGGCAGGACCTGGCAGAACTCCAGGGTATCCCAGACTTGCGGAGATGTAATTCAGACCTGATAAGACAGTTTGCATTTGGTTTGGATTCCATAGAACATGAAAACCGACGTCCCTAAAGTAAGACGGCGCATGCTCCCTCGCGTCACTGATCAACGACAATATTTCGAGCACCTAGAACGAATTAAGATCAGCTCAAATCGCTACTACTGGAAATGCAAATATTCACCGCGCCCAAGGTCTGTATAGTACGGCCGGTTGAGACGTGTCGTGCTATGGGCATTGGGCAACGCCCAGCCTGAGCACAATGTGACACTTATATAAGCCCCAAACCCCCATGTCGGAAATTCCTAATTTAGCTTTCAATGCATTACAAAGCATTGAAAGGTTTAAATTCAAACCTCCGATTGAAATGGCTTCCAATAATAGAGTCGGTCTTGTAACGGCCATTGCAATCACGGTTGCAATGCCCATTGCAATGGTCATTGAAATCTGTTGTAATCAATCTTAGTCATTGTAATGAGTTGTTTGTACCCTGAGTCACGGTGAGCATTGCAACTGGTTGCGATGATGCCCGTCTCTTGCAAGCCCCTTTCTATCATCTTCTATTACCATAGTACTTTATCTTATCATTTCCTGGTGTTATCTTACCTTTCAGTTCCTATTGTGCTTATTATTAGTGTTATCATATTACATTTGTATGTGTATTATTACTTACCAGTTTTCTTATGCTTTCGGTCCTGTTATGCTTATTAGTTAGTTAACTGTTATATTGTATTAGGTTTGTGTTACTCACTTGTCAATTAAGTTTGTACTTGGTAGGTTTTGAATGCTTGACTATCTGTAGTGTTTATTGGCTTAAGCTTAAGGTCACATGATGGTTGGAATTTACTGTAGTAAAACTGTTAGACTAAATGGCCATTATATACATAGAAACTTTACTGTATATAATGGTTTACTTTACTGTTAATACCTATAAGGTATTAGTCTAAGTGTCTAATAAGCTAAGGTCACAACACTTTTGAGGGCACAAGTTTGAACTATGGCAACATCTTGTTAAGGTTGTGTGCTCAAGGGGGTCAGATCACAAGGGCTTGGCCTCAGCTTGTACACTGTGCCCCTTTCCCAAGTATGTGCCCTTAATTTCCGGGGGCTAGAATAGTCATCCAGAGTTTCCAGGTTTTGACTAGGGTGGACAATGGATGTCTGGATCTGAAACATGAGATAAATCCAGCAGATGTCTGGATGTTACTTGGGCAAGTGGATAAGGCTAATCTGGATGGATTCTGGATTAGAAACTAACAGGGGGTAGACTACCTTAAGGTAGAGCTGGAGATGTAGTCTAGGATGCAATCCTAAGACTTGGAATGTGACAAGAGACTTGGCTCAAGTCTGGAGGACGCAGGAATGAGCAGGAACTAAGATGATGTTTGAACTAAAGTATTTCCAAGAGTTACAGGAGGTTTATATACTGTAGGTATCATATAGGAATCAGTCAGCAAACACAAAGGCTATGTACAAAGCATATGCAAAGTCTATTAGTAAGTAGGATGGATCACCAATAATGCATATTGGAAATGAAATGTATGTAACAGATCAATAATTAGAAGGGAAACATAGTTAACCAGAGTCTGGAGACAGGGGAAGTCTAAATGGGGTTGGGCACTGATATAGAGTTTGGATTCTGGAAGGAAGATAAAGATAGATCAGATCATTGGAGATCCAGATCTCAGATCTGGATGTCTGGAGAAGCAGATTTAGAGTTGAGGGTCTGGAATGGCATATGACACATCTACATGTTGTAAGGACAAGTACAAAATGAAATTGAAAATCTATCCCTAACAAGCATGAGTGCCACGATGAACAGCTTCACCTGCAGGTTTCTTCACCCTAGTCTTTCATCTACCTCAAGCTGGTTGCTGTCTGATATCCGTTTCCTGCACTATGACTGTAGCAGTCACTGCTGGGCCTGTTGTGGCACCCTGAATAGGTACTTCAGTGTGCCCTACAGAGGCGGCAGTGAGAGTGGAGTGAGTACTGATGGATGAGACAGCGCTAAGAGTGGGTGTGTGGCATTCAGTGGGCTGTGGCACCTCAATGATGTCAGACTGAGAAGCTGCAACACCCTGCACAGTAGAAGATGGAGCATCATCTGACTTGCTGTCAGTATCCATATTGAGTGCATTCATGGCATGAATTATTTTGCTGGAGTGATCTTCCTGACCAACTGCAGAAGTAGAAAATTTTGTGGAGCTGAAAATATCTTGGTTGATGTTTTGCACAATGATTTGAATGTGATGGCTATCCCACTTTGTGAGTAAGAGCTTCTTATAGTGGAAGAATAGATCCTTGTAGTTAATATTGGATGACTTTCCTAAGCCAGACTTCTGAAATTCTGTGTCAGGCGACAGCAGAAAAATTGACTGTGATATTGACTGAGCAACATGATTGAACATAGTGTAGATGATGACTCACAATGACAGTGGCCCATGTGATACATCCTGGTGTGACATGTTTGAAGTTCCATTTCTGGGCATTTGTCTTCAGACCACCAGTTGTCTCTTGGTGAAGCGAAGTAACACCATGTAGTGCAACCTTCAGAATCTATTCAGGGATACATGTCAGTAAGAAGACGCTTGTTGGCAGAACACATACCTTAGCTAGAAGCTCCCAGTTTCCAAACATGGTCTTTAAGGATGAGTCTTCCTGCATTCTGAGAAAGAGGAATGGTGGGAAAGTCTTGTACTTTGGGTTGGTTCCAGACACTCCAAGCATGTTCCATATTTCAGTGACATCAGCTCTGTGGTAGTTGGTATTGTTGAAGTACATTCCTGGAAGGCCAAAGATCTCCCCCACAATGCCACACAGTTTGTTGATCTCTGATGAGTGAGCCTCAGAAATGCACTTCATTACCTGGTCATCCAGGATGAATGTTAGTTAAAACATAGATATTAAAACATATGATATTACTTACAAGGTTGCTGAAGTATGAACTTTCCATGATGCTGTGTAAGCGACTAGGGAAGTGCTGGAATAGTTCATCCAGAAATGCTGATTCCTGGGTTAATGCTGTCAAGTACCAGTTTCAGTTGTCAAAGGGAGTCAGATTCTCAGGGCATTGCTTGCTGAGAAGTTCAGCATTAGGGAACATCTCAACAGTCATGCTGTATTTGTGAGCATAAAGTGTTATCATTTGCTCATGGGCCAGGAGTTCATCAGGTGCTTCTGCACGACATTTGTGCTTGGGCTTCTCAGCAATGAGAACTTTGTTTTCCTCATGAAGAGTACAATTGTCCTCAATGAGCTTCTGGACCTGAACCTGCAGCACCTTAAGTGCCTGGAGTGAGAGAAGAGTAAGACACATAACATAATCTACCATCTGAAACATACCTCCATGAGGTCTCCCTTTGAGGCACTTGGCCCTGGAATTGCAACTGGTTTGATGTTAGGTTCTCTGTCCCATGAATCATCTGAGTCAGATGTGCTCTGAGTCCTAGAGAGATGAGATATAATGCTAGAGAAACTGGGGGAGATGAGAGCAGTCAAAATCAGCACAATAGTGCGATATATAATGTGTCATACCTCGTGCATTCTGCAGCTGAAGCTGTGGCAATCTATCAGTGCCAAGAACAAAATGTGTCTATGCTCTGACTGCATATTGATAATGAAAGCATAATAACCTGGCCTTACAACATATGAAATCAGCATACATGTAATAATCAGGTTGGTCACTTACATTTTGTGTCAATGCACATCCTGTTCAGCTCTCAGCAGCTCCCTGGACCAGTGTACAAGATGTCATTGGTGTCCAGTACAAGGCCTTGAGTGTACTGCCACTCCTTTGTGATACCTCACCAGCACTCCTTCTTTGGCTCTGACTCAACAGAATACATCATCTGCACAGCTACAGCACTGATGCTCAGGATTGGTGAGTTCTCTACTTGATCAGTGAAATGATCAGAAGATGATTTGACACTCTGAATCATCCAAGACTTACTCTTGGCTGTCACATGCTTACTAGTTGTGAATGCTGAGTGTGGAGTTAGCAGCTCCTTAAGAGGAGAGTAAGGTGCAGGCACAGAAAAGGTGGATGTGGTCCAGGGAGCAGCAAATTGCAGCTGTGCAGCTGTGAGACTATGGAACTGTCAAAGATGCAGTTGTTGCAGGTGTAGATGTTGCGGGTGGAGCTGGTGTGATGAAGAAGTTGGGCAATAAAGAAGATATGGATGTAGGCATGGTGGTGGTAGGAGGTTGTGTCATGGATGGTCCAAATAAGGGTGCTGGTACTGCAGAGACAATTTGTAGAGTAAGCAAGGTGGGGAATACAAATGAGGTGCAAGATGAGTCTTACATGGAGATGTTGCTGTGGGAAGGGACAGGTGGCAGATTAGGATTCACAGGAAGAGGTGGATAGAGATGATGGAGCATTCACAGGGACAAAATGAGACATCTGTCTGCAAGTAACCTGCACAGTGGATGCCATTGGAGTGACGAGGGGGATGAGGGGTGGTATAAAGTTTTTTGCACAAGTTGAACAATGTGATGACTCAGATGAGTCAATTCATCCAGAGGGCCAAGAAACTGGTTGATGGTTTGATCACTGACCCTTGCATAATACAATTGTTGTCAGTGAGAAACTGGTTGATTGTTTGATCACTGACCCTTGTATAATATGATGGTTGCCAGTGACAAACCAGTTGATTGTTTGATCACTGACCCTTGTGTATAATGGCTCAGGCCATCAATAAACTCTTCAGCTCATGGAATGTCATCAACTTGACATTCCATGAATCATTTTGTGGTTGCTGTAGGTTGAGAGTCAGCATTGCATACATTGTAGTGTCCTAGACTTACTAACAATAGGGTCACCAGCACTGGGCAGTGGATGCTCAACCATGAGATCAAATGTGCACAATATGGCCTGCCTCCAAGTGCATCATCTTCACATGAAGAAACATATCAGTATCTGTAGTATCAACTACAAGATAGTTGGAAGGTCCATCTGGAACAAGAATTGCTCCACATATGATGGATCTAACAGAATAGAACTGGGCTTGTGCTTGTGGTCTTGCTTGAACTCTGAAAAGGTTAAGGTCCTTGTCCTTTTGAGTGTGCAAACCAGTGGGAGTGTCAAAGGGGTAGATGAAAGCCAAGGGAAGCCTGTGATCCCCAACCAGGCATTCAAAACAGAATAACAGCCTGCTGAGAATGACCTTGTTTTCTGTCTGCTGAATAAAGACACAGTTGAAGTGCAGAGAACCAAAGAAAAGGGGATTGCAATGAAGGTAGTCTGTGTGCTGACACCAATCAACCATTGATTCATAGTTGATATGCATGAAATGGTGCTCTGTAATCTGCATGTACATGTCAGCATAGCAAAAACAAAGAGCTGAGATATACATACTTCATAAGTCCCTTGAAGATGAATGTGTTTGCCTTTAGGCAGTGGTATGTTTGATGAGGGTAAAAGAAGATTAAGAAAGTTATTAAGCTTGATACAGAAATTACCAAAGGCTTGGTCTGTTACAGCTACATATGCCCCTATTCATTTTCTCTTCCATATACTTGTATTATGTCATGACCACATGATGCAGTGCCATCACTAGACTTATCTTCCATATTTGTATTACATTGCGATCGCCACAGCCATTGTTAGATGACTCATCTCTTATCTTTGACTTGTCTCTTATCTCTGACTCATTGCTGATGTACGTGTACCTGCCCTAAAGTCACTTACGTCCTATATATAGTCAACTATGTACTTAGTAGTTCCTTACTTTAATCTTACTAGGTTTTCACCTGGAACTTCCTTTGCTTAGGATCTCCAATCCTAAGTTGTCTGAAACCAATATTCAAGTCAGAGACACTCTCTTTGTCTTGTCTTACAACCTTTACATTTGTAAAGTCTTGACTATAACATCAGTCATTGCTCTTATCAAGCTACTGTTGTTACGACCATCCTAGTTCATAACAAAAGATTAAAGTACCTACTCCGACCCTCTCCATCAGGGAGGTCCCAGAACCCAGAAACCAAGATCAGACAGAGAGAGATGTAACATCCCCTGTAATCAGATGCATCACTAGACCAGATGATCAGGATGTCAGCATCTACCACCAACTCAGAACTTAAAGCCGGAGCCCCAACATCTTATGATGGAAGCCCTCAGCAGGCTTTATGTTGGTTGTATGCAATTAAGGTGTACTTTGTGCTTAATGCTACAATCTACAACACCGACGAAAAGAAAGTCATTACTGCTCTCACATATATGACAAAAGATAGTGCTATGGGATGGGCCCTCACCTTCTATACCGAAGTTGACAACTCCATCTCCAAGTCCTATGGAACCTTTGCAAACTTCGAAACAAAGTTCAAAGAAGCCTTCATACCAGCTGATGCCATTGGCACAGCAATGAATAAACTCTGTACCTTGAAACAAATGGGCAATCTCACTTCCTACATCACCAGCTTCAAGACCCTTGCTGCACAAGCATCTGTAAAGCAAGACGCTGTCCTGATCATGTTCTTCAATGACAGACTCAAGAAGGGGATTGGTAACTCCATCTATCAAATGGAAACCATTCCCACAGACTTCGACAAATACGTTGCTGCAGCCATCAGGGTCAATAGTAATTGGCAAAGGGGTGCCATGTTCTGTCAGAACAACCGCACTACCACCAAGCCAACTGGACAGCAATATGTACCCAGACCTTCCATTGATTGGCACGACCCAAATGCCATGGAAGTAGATCGGCTTACCAAAGCTGAGAGAAACGACCATATGAAGAAAGGGTTATGTTTCACATGTCATCAGAGAGGACACATGACTAGAGCATGCCCCCAGAAGAAAAATGGAAAGACCCCCATTCATCATGAAGAGATAGAAGACAGCAACAAAGAAGATGAAGATACAATGATCTGTTGCCTAGCTGAGGATTTTTGATGTGGAAGACTGGATTGACATCAGTATCTTCCAATGTACCTATCAGACTTGTACGAAGTATTGGAATCAGAAAGGAACTTTGCATTCCCATTTCACTTATCTCTAAAACTCATCTGAAAACCATCAAAACAACAGCTGTTGTTGACTCTGGTGCTGCCGGAACATTTATCTCAGAGGATTTTGTCAAAATCCACAGGATCCGAATGCACAAACTCACGAAACCATTCCGAGTCACCACTGCGGATGGAAGTTTTGCAAAGGGGGGCACTATCACTCGATATTGCATCCTCATCATGAAAATCGACAAATGATCCATGATTGGAAAATTTAATATTACACGGCTTGGCCATTGTGATCAGATTTTACTTGGGATTCCCTGGCTATGTGCCATGGACCCGGTAATCAGATGGAAAGCAGAAACACTAGAACTCTCTCAAACAGAGAAAAGCAATCAGATTGAAGAAGAGGTCGACATTGAATGAAAGAAGAATAACCTCCAACCTCTCTTCCAGAGAAACATTGAAAAACAAAACCCAGTTGTAGAGCTGCTGAAGGCGCCTCCTGTGAAACCTGTCCCAGTCATGATACCACATCAAGAACCACTTCCTCGAGCCACCATCAAAGAAATTCCGGATGAAGAAGAATCCTCAGTATTGACCAATCCTGACCCCATCCCTGATGATGATGATTCCTTTGATACCAAAGATGATGTATGGACTTCTTCGGACTATGCACCACCCATACAAGAACTCGCCACATATCACCTCGACGACAATGAATTTTTGGTTGAATATCCCACTGATACTGCCGAGCTCCAGGTCATTACCAATGTTTCTATGGATACCCCATTAACCAAGGATGGCACCAGCATTGCAGAACAGAAACCTATGGTTACACCCCTATCATGGCCCACAGAATACATCAAGACCAGTAACAAAGCCCAGCAGTTCACCTTAGCAGCCAGGCTTGAACAGAAGAAGAAAATGTTCAAAGAGCTCATCCCCTCTTATCTTCACAATTTCGCTGATATTTTCGCAAAAGACAGTCTTAACCAATTGCCACTGGAATGACCAGGAATCAACCATCATATTGAAACCAAACCTGGGTTCATTCCAAAAATGTCAAAAGTTTATCCGTTATCTGAAGCAGAACGCACTACTGTCAAAGCGTTCATTGATGAGAATGTAAAGAAGGGTTTTATCTCTGAGTCAAAGTTGCCACAAGCAAGCAGCTTCTTCTTTGTAGGAAAGAAAAGTGGAGATCTTCATCTATGTCAAGACTATCGGTACATTAATGAATGGATGGTCAAGAATGCCTATCTGCTCCCGTTACCACTCTCTCTGGTCACCCAGTTGCATGGTGCTAAATACTTCATGAAGATGGACATCCGTTCTGGTTATAACAACATTCATATCCACCCTGATGATAGATGGAAAGCTGCTTTTACCACAGAATATGGCCTCTTTGAGCCAAATGTTATGTTTTTCAGCCTCTGCAATTCTCCTGCCACCTTCCAAGCGTATATGAATCAGACGTTCCAACAGGAAATCAATGAAGGATGGTTGGTCATCTATATGGACAATATTCTGATTTTCTCCAATAACCTTTCCTCACACCATGATTGCACCCGGTGTGTCCTCAATAGAATTTGGAAGGAGAAGCTCTTCCTTAAACCAGAAAAATGTACCTTTGATGCACAAGAAGTGGAGTACCTGGGCATGATTATTTGGCCAGGTTGCATCGCAATGGATGTTGCCAAAACTGATGGGATCAAAGACTGGCCTGTTCCAATGACAGTAAAAGAGGTTTGGTCATTTCTAGGATTTTGTAATTTCTACTGAAACTTCGTCCCTCACTACTCCGACATTGCCAGACCACTAATTGATCTGATGAAGAAAGCCACAGTATTCCAATGGTCAGACCTCTGCACCACCGCCTTTTCCTCATTAAAAGACTGTTTCTTAAAGCAACCTGTCCTTCAAAACCCAGACCCTAGCTGGCAGTTTGCTGTGGCAACCAACACCTCACTAGTTGCCACAGGTGCAGTCTTACTCCAAACTGATGACAATGGAATGTATCATCCATGTGGATACCTGTCGCAGACCCTGAATCCAGCGGAGCACAACTATCAGATATTTGATTGCAAATTCTTAGCAGTCATCCACGCCTTGACTGAATGGCACCATTACCTAGAAGGAAACCCCCTCACCCTGTCCTCATCTTCACCAACCACAAAAACCTATTGTACTTCTGAACTGCTCAGAAATTAACTTGCAGGCAAGCCCATTGGCAGTTGATTTTATCCTGCTATGATATTGAGCTCCATCATGTCACTGGATCTAAACTTGCCACCCCAGATGCCCTCTCCCGCTGTCCTGATCATGGTACAAATTCTGACCAGGATAACTCTGATGTCACTCTCTTACCCGACTCCATGTTTGTTCACCTTCTTGATGTTGAACTTATGACCACTCTTGCAAATCCTGACCCCTCCGATCCAGACCCCATCTTCCAAACTGCCTCCAACACCCTAGATGGCTTATCTCTCCCTCCAATGAAATCCACACTTGCTGATTGGGCGATAAAAGATGACATCCTTTATTATAAGGATCATGCCTATGTCTGGCCTGCTGGCCACCACCTTGTTCTGGAACGCTGTCATGATCATGCCACAGCCAGTCATCCCAGACGTTTTAAGACAGAAGAACTCATCAAAAGAGACTTTTGGTGGCCCTCTATGGGTACCTATGTCTGTAAATACATTGAGGGTTGCGCCCTTTGTCAGCAAATGAAGTCTGATACCCATCCTATGACTCCTCCCCTTGTACCCATCGCTTCCGCCGCCATCATGCCTTTTACCCAGGTCTCAGTTGACCTTATCACTGATCTCCCTCCGTGTGCTGGCTTTGATTCTGTTATGGTTGTGGTCGACCATGGCCTTATGAAGGGGGTAATTCTAGTCCCCTGTATGAAAACCATCACTTCTGAAGGAGTCACCAAGAAGTTTTTCAAATATGTCTACCATCAATTCAGATTACATGAGAAAGTCATTTCAGATCATGGGCCGCAATTCATATCAAAATTCTCAAAAGCCCTCGCCAAACTTTTGAAATACAACATAGCCACATCAACTGCTTATCACCCCCAAACTGATGGCCAGACTGAACACCTTAACCAAGAACTCAAAACTTACCTATGGATCTATTGCCACAATCACCCAGAAGACTGGGTAGAACACCTCCCAATGGTGGAATTTGTTCATAACCATTGGAAACATGACTCTCGAAATGCATCACCCTTCTTCCTTATGATGGGATATGAACCAAGGGCTCTCCCTCATGTACTCCCCGACTCTACCATGCCCACCGCAGAAGACAGACTTCACTCCTCCAGAAATCCAGAGAAGAAGTGCTATCATGCCATAATCTCACCATGCAATGAATGGCAGAATGAACTCATGGATGAAAATATCACTCATGGAAGATAGGAGATAAGGTTTGGTTATCAGGAAAGAACCTGATCATGCAGTTACCATCTTGAAAGCTTGCACCAAAACGATATGGTCCTTTCCCCATTGTCGCTGTACTATCACCCATCACATTCACACTCCAATTACCACCACAATGGAGAGTTCACCCCACATTCCATGCTTCTGAACTATCCTCTTATCATGAAACAGAGATTCACGGTTCGAATTTCCATGACCCTCCCCCTGACATCATAGATAATGAAGAAGAATACAAAATAGATGTGATCTTATTGCACAAAGGCACAGGTAAACAAAGATGCTATCTTGTATCCTGGAAAGGATACTCTTCCACTAGTAATGAATGGATCCCTGAAGAGAACCTTAGCAACACTATTGATGCCCTTGCTGCATATAAGAAGGCTCACAAATTGTAACCCCAGGACAATGTCTCTTGAATGCCTACGCCTCTGCATACAACACATCAAAGAACTCACTGCTGCTATGAATAACGTATCCGAAAACATTACTCACCCATTGTCCCTTATTGACTATCAAACTGCCACTGCCACCAACCTTGCCAACAATGCATCCTCCCCAGTAGCTTCCCCACCTTCATCTGACTCTACTTTGACCAGTGACTCTACCCTCACTGATTATTTTGCAATCATTGACCAAGTTGAGACAAGTGCTCTATTCAAATCAGCCCTTACATCCCAACAATATGCTATTGAGATTGATCATCTCCTGGGAGAAAGAGGAGCAATCTCTAGTGGACTCATCATCTGAATTATCAGAGACGCCAGCCTTATAGAATGCACCGCTAATCTTCTTGATGATGAACATCACAAGACCATATTTCGCCACCTTCATATACGCATTCATAATACTGCAATTCATCTGTTGCCTGATGATACTAGAGAAGCTATCAGGGAAGCTATCCACATTGTCACTGAGCAGATCACTACAGACCCAGTCGCATGACCTCCATCCCCACATGCTGCCGTTCCAATCCCACTGCCAATTCTTCCAACAGCTACCATTGAGCATTCGGATGACAATATCCCTCCTATTGCTGTACTTGACATACCAGCTTCTCCTTCTCCTACCCCCATCACACCCACTACATGTCAGTACCCCACTAGACGCAGGTCCGCCCATATTGCCAAACAAACAGCATCAGCCTCCCCACACAGAAACCGCAAGTGATGATCTAGATCCCCATCTCCACCCGCACAGTCATCCACTGTCACCACTGTGAAAACAGCAACTGCTGACAATGTAGTATGTCACAACTGTCGCATTGCCAGGCATTGCCATAAGAACTGCCCAGCATACTATTGTTGGGTTTGCAAAGAGTATGCACCCAGGCATCTATCAGTCTTTTGCAAAGACTTGAAGGGAGAAGCGGTTATTCCACTGGTTTGGACTGACACAGGTTTCTATGAGGCTCTCACTCATTAGGAGATCGAGCAGGACGGTATTTATCACACCACTGGGGTGGCTGGTGAGTCATCTTGTACGGTTACAGAGGAGCAAAACGACTTGCTAGACTCTAACTACAATGCTGACCCTATCTATTGGGCAAATCAGGATAACTGAAGTCGGTGACTTCATTCCTAAACAAGGGGTAATGTTACAGTTATGTATGCCCCTATTCACTTTCTCTTCCATATACTTGTATTATGTCATGACTGCATGATGCAGTGCCATCACTAGACTTATCTTCCATATTTGTATTACATTGCGATCGCCACAGCCATTGTTAGATGACTCATCTCTTATCTTTGACTTGTCTCTTATCTCTGACTCATTGCTGATGTACGTGTACCTGCCCTAAAGTCACTTACGTCCTATATATAGTCAACTATGTACTTAGTAGTTCCTTACTTTAATCTTACTAGGTTTTCACCTGGAACTTCCTTTGCTTAGGATCTCCAATCCTAAGTTGTCTGAAACCAATATTCAAGTCAGAGACACTCTCTTTGTCTTGTCTTACAACCTTTACATTTGTAAAGTCTTGACTATAACATCAGTTGTTGCTCTTATTGAGCTACTGTTGTTATGACCATCCTAGTTCATAACATGGTCAGCATGATGAGCCTCCTCAATTGCATCAAAGGTTTGTGAATGTTGTCTTGATTCAAGCTTCACATGGAAGAAGTTGCTTGTTGAGACAGGGCGATCAATGACATTGATGAGGTCTTGCTCTAGTAAGTCTTCTTTATCTGCTTGACATTGAGCCTTGTCAAACTCAAATAATTGGTGGTATATGTGATCTGTGACCACTTGCCATGTATTAATGTGCAAGATCTGTCACATCTGAACACATGCTATTAGTAGTAGACACATTTCTTAAATTTAATGCACCTGTTCTGCTACATCACAAAAATTTGTGCATAGTAAGTATGAATCCTTTAATGAGCTGTGCATCTTCTCGTTTGGCTTTGTATTATAATTCTGTGTTGCTCCTTTCACTTCAATGTCATCAAAGATATGTAGGTCCATATGTAACTTTGGAAAATTCCAACTTTTGTTGCTCTCATTGGCCATTTTGTTAATATATTGCTGAAAGCAATTAAGTGACTATCAGTAGCATAAATACATGTAACATACCTCCAAAATGGCTAAAAACACACAGTGTGTATGTCAGCCACTGCTGATTGTCTCAGCCATGTGGACTTTGAGTGAGGCATACATGTTGAGCTCAATATGAAGATGGACACAGTGGAGGAGCAGATAACTGATAGGGCAGTCTACTTCTGTCAAGATATCATGAGTAGCATATACTATCATCTAGTACAAATCAGTTAGACTCAAGGTAGCACAAAAAACCGAATGACAAACCTTTGAAATGTCTCCATGCACTGAGTTGTCTGTAAATGAAATATTCATCACCTGGTTCAAATGTTTCTGATCTCACCAGCAGGGAAATGTGTGATAGCTGTGTCAATTCACATTAGATCAAGTCTGAATCAAAATACTACAGAAAGTAACATTACTTCTTGTTGACTCAAGACATGCTATCTTGTCCAAGACCATTGATATGTTTCTGAAGCTCAACCCACAGGTGATCAGACCATTCACCACCAGAGTGAAAGTGTAGCCTGTCCCAAGACAGTGCACAATGTACATCTGTGGAGGACAGCACCCAAAATGAATTCTATGATGGCATTCAAACAATGCAGCAGGTCCAGTAGAGAGTGGTCTCCTTCTCTTGTGCACTTGCTAGGATGGCCTGTGAGTCATGAGACATGTGAAGTGGATAGTGACATGATGTATCTGAAAGTTTGTTGTGTGGAATGAGACAAACTGGGCATGGCCACAGGGACCTGACACCACAAGTAAGTGACATCATTGACCTTGTCAGAACATGGTAAGCTACTGAGAGGTCAATCTCAAGAGTTTGGGACTCACTGTTCCTCAAAATCAGATGATAAAATGAGTATCAATGGAAAAAACCAGCACTGAACAGCATCTAAGCACTCCAACCATTGTCCTGTTCTCAATCTTTCTGCTAGCAAAGAGAGTATCCTTCCAAATGACTTGTGCCATACTGTGGCCTTGAAATTAGCCCATGCTGACTTGCTGGAGTGTTGCTTGTCTTCCTTCACCTGTATCAATACACTTAGTATGAAGTAATAGATGTGATTCAAATATATGCATCATACCACAGGAAGCCACCCAACAACATAACCTCCACCCATTCCCTGACTGTTGCGAATGTCAGTGGGTAAATTTGCTAATCGCACAATGACAGGGTAGCCTTTTGCAGTACTGAAACTTGAAAGTTTTGTCTTGTCTGCATACAAGATGAAGGCAAGGGGCTTAGCACCATCTGGCAGCTGCAACTACAAAATATATTAAAACACCATCAAAATTACTACACACATTACATGAATGATACACACTTGAGCATCCAAGAAGTGTTGAGCCGTAAAGGGCTCATTGTTAAGGTCATACTCAAGGGATAACTGGATCTGAAGGGCTTCGGCCTCAGCTCATGCACTGTGCCCCTTACCTGAGTATTGCCCCTTATTTCAGGAAGGCAAGACTAATGCATCTGGAAGGTCAGATGAGTAGTGTAGTGGATCTGGATGACTTCCGGATGAGGGATAAGTATCATAGGGCTAATCTGGACAAGTCCAGACTAGAAACTAACGGTAATGGACTGTCAGAGACAGAGGCAGATACAGATAGACTATAGGAATCAATCCTAAGTCTCAGAGGGTGACGAGAGCAGAGATACTCAAGTCCAGAGGACAGGAATGAGTAGAACTAAGATGATATTCAAACTGAGGTACTACAGAAAGTTACAGGAGGTTATATACTATAGGTATCTAATGGAATGATCAATCAGCAGAGTCCGAGGCTATGTACAAAGCATATGGATAGTCTATTGGTAAGTAGAAATGGATCACAAATCATGAAACAGAAATGAAGCATAGGTAACAGGTCAGGGAGCAGGACAGATATACAGATAGCTGATATACCGGAGTTAGGGAATTTACCAAAAAGAGATGAGCACTGGTTGTGGATTCGGATGAATTGTGGACTGGACAGGATGAGTGGACAGGATGGATGATGAGATGTTAGAGGGAGATAAGATGTGGATAGGATTGGAGATAAGATGTGGATTGGATCTGAGATGAGATAAGGATCGGATCTGAGATCCGGATATGTGGATATGACACTTGTCTACAAAGTGTTCAAATGATTGGCCATTGAACTTTGACAAGTGCTGAGCATCAAAATGAAAATGGGGAAAAAGATAAGGGTCATGGAGGAGGTCAGTAGCCCACTTCCAAAGATCATGATAGTAGACATCATAGTCCCAAGATCTATCTGTGAAGGGTATTGAAATAAAGTCTTTTGTAAACTGAGGTCAAAGATTAGTCCAACATGATTCATCCAGCAAGGGGCAAGACAACCCCCATTAGATGCTGAGATGCTGCATCCTACTTAGTGTGAACATCCTTATGGTTATGGAATGTGAATTTCTCTGACTTCTGCGCACAGCAGCGGCAGATATCCAGGCGATGGTCAGTCTGTTCATTGTTGAGGGCCACTTTGAGCACAATCTCAGCAACATCAAACCCTAAACAGGACTTGAAGGGATGCCAAGGATGCTTGTCTGGATCAGGAGCCAACCACAATGAATAATGGGCTGGTTGATGCTTGAAATTGCCAAAAGCTTGGACCTTAGTCAGGATCCTGCTATTTGGGTGATGTTCAACCTTTATATCATTGAGCTGGAATTCACAGTATTCAAGATCCCTGTCATCAGCAGGGAAATCTTCTAAGTCATCCATATTAATAGTATGCCATAAACTAATCACTGAAATCATTGAACTCACCGAAAATAGGGTTTGGATGCTCTGAATTGATGTCACAGTTTGAAGAACTTGGTCAAGATGAAGAAAGTCCAGGGACTTGCTATCCTATTGCAACTGAGCAGATAGACTATCAAGTAAAACAGACATGATAATGTGGCAATATCAAAGGTAAGACTTATGATGTGTGCCAAGCATGATGTTTGGATCTGCAGCTGCAGCTTGGTTCAGATGTCAATAGATGTCAAATTATTTAGAGTAAATCAAAACACACCTTTTTGCTGCTGGATTGATTTTGCAATGTGTTGATCTTGTGCTTGTTTTTGGGCATTCTTCTTGCAGGCCTTTTGATGTGTGGCCCACCCATGAGGTTTGATGTTCTGTTCACAGAGATCACAGAATTTAGCTTGATCAGAGCCCATAATGTTGTTAGATATACTGTTAAGGTCGCGTGCTCAAGAGGGTCAGATCACAAGGGCTTGGCCTCAGCTTGTATGCTGTGCCCCTTTCCCAAGTATGTGCCCTTAATTTCCAGGGGCTAGAACAGTTGTCTAGAGTTTCCGGGTTTTGACTAGGGCGGATAATGGACGTCCGGATCTGAAACGTGAGATAAATCCGACGGACGTCCGGATGTTACCTGGGCAAGTGGATAAGACTAATCCAGACAAAGTCCGGACTAGAAACTAACAGAGGATAGACTACCCTTAAGGTAGAGTCAGAAATGTAGTCTAGGATGCAATCCTAAGACTCGGAATATGACAAGAGACTTATCTCGAGTCTGGAGGACACAGGAATAAGCAGGAACTAAGATGATATTTGAACTGGAGTATTTCCAAGAGTTACAGGAGGTTTATATACTGTAGGTATCATATAGGAATCAGTCAGCAAACATAAAGGCTATGTACGAAGCATATGCAAAGTCTATTAGTAAGTAGGACAGATCACAAATAATGAACACCGGAAATGAAATGTATGTAACAGATCAGTAATCAAAAGGGAAACATGATTAACCGGAGTCTGGAGACAGGGGCAGTCTAAATGGAGTTGGGCACTGATATAGGGTTTGGATTCCAGAAGGGAGATAAAGATAGATCAGATCATTTGAGATCCAGATCTTGGATCCGGATATCCGGAGAAGCGGATTTAGAGTTGAGAGTCCAGAATGGCATATGACATATACAAGATGTATCTACAGAATCAATGAGAATAAGGGGATGGAAGCATAGAGATGGTGGGGGTGCAAATACAAGGAAAATGTGTTGCAAGTGCCTTGCAATCACCTTGCGATGTATTGAAACTCAGAGACCAATCTTACATCATCATTCTGATAGGAGTTTCAACAACATCTCAACAAAAGAGCATTTAATAAGTTTCACAAATTTCCAACACAGAAAGTCAAGAATCTGGAAACTCCAGCACTGTCTGCCTGGGTCCATCTGGCTGTTTCCTTCACCATTGTTGTCCTTGTCCATCTGTTGTAGAGTACTATTCACAATACTAGCATAATGAGCTCATTCCAACTTCTTATCCAACAGCTTGAACACAGTCCTGATGCAATAACAAGTAACTCTCTCAGTTCTCTTTTCCATTTTATCACCATTGGAACCATACTTAAGAATGACATTATCCTTGCAGAACCATCCTTAGCACCAATTGATGACCCTCTGAGTGTTCTCCCACTTGCAATTGCTAGGTTTCTTGGTGCAGGGTGTGCTATATCCCCTGCTCAAGGACATCATCTGGACTGGTGGGCTCAAAACTGATATGCAAGAATTATGGAAGACAGAGGGGATACACAGGGGAGTAGGTATGTACTACATCAATATTTGTTCCTTCTATTACTCATTTCTAATGAACTTGTACCTGAAGCTGAGCATCTCCTCTACCCCCTGAGCAGCTACTGCCTTCAACTGAATTGCTCATGCTGTGCCAAAGGGATGATGCTTAACAAGGCAAAGCAGCACTATGTTGTCCTCTTTACTCTCACTAGTGGCCCCTACACTACAAAATCAGTTCACCTTTACTGTGAATGTTAGTGGTCACTTGTTGTTAGGTATTTTTCTCACTGTACACTCCCAGCATGCAAGATTGATTATCACTACAATTACAGTGTATTTGAAGGGGAGCAAACGTACTACAAGGACCAACCTGTGAACATACAAGTCACTGAACATGTCTACATGGTAAAGGAGGTCATTGAGCTCTTTAAGACTGTGATAGACCTTGCATGGTAAGTGTTACAATCATGTACACCCCTATTCATTTTCTCTTAATCACTGTGTATTACATCACAAGCTGCATAGCACTGCTGTTAGACTTATCCCCAATATCTTGTATTACATCATGATTGCTGTTGCCATTGCCAGATGACTCATCCTTATCTATGACTCATCCTTATCTCTGACTCATTATTGACTTATGCCTGCCCTAAAGCTACTTATGATTCACTATATATAGTTAATGATGTACTCAGTAGTTCTTTACTTTAATCTTACTAGGTTTTCATCTGAACATTCTCTTGCTTAGGACCTCCAATCCTAAGTTGTCTGAACTGATATTCAAGTTGAAGACACTCTCTTCATCTTGTCTTATGACCCTTGCTTTTGCAAGGTCCTGACTTAACTTCAGCCATTGCTCCTATCAAGCTGCTATTGTTACAACTATCCTAGTCCATAACAGTAAGTTATCCTTGACTTGTACTATGATCCTGGACCTAATATGTGATCCTGCAGGGCATTGGCTACTAACTGTGCCTGGCTCTATAATCTTTGTCTTTCATATGGAGTGAAGTTCAAGCTCTATGTAGACTATGTATGGGACAGCTATGTCATCTCTTCACTTCTTGAAGACTGCAAAAATTGAAAAAGCTCTCTGATTATCCCTCACACTAGTGAACAACATGATTGCTTCACTGCCACAATGATCACAAGAAATTGTCACACACGGCTCTTTGGCTATGATAATGTACATCACTACTACTGTGGCAAATGTACTTGGATGTACACTGATCCTAAGGGCAATTGTGAGTGCTGTTAGCTTGAGGTGCAATATTATAGTATCATTGAGCTATTTAAACTAGCTCATAAGGTCTCTGTTGTCAATGTCAATGGTATTACTGTCAGACATCCATGTTGTACTGTTTATAATTGCCATATTCCACTTTCTAACAATCATCATCAGTTTTGTCCTACTTATACCAACCAAAACAATGAGTGCACAATTATTGAATGTACACTGCCCATCACTGGAGGTTGTCACACATGTTTTACATGGACAGTCTTGATTTCAGCTCCAAGAGTGACTTGCCCATGCCCAAGCTGCCATTGCTGAGAAAAGGGATGCAAACCAACTAGATATAGAGTCTCAGCCTGATGTACAAGAAGAGGATGAACTTGATGAAAGCAGGCAAGTACTTCCAGCCTCAAAACCAACACAGGGAGATCCTACAGCACAGCCCAAATGAAAAAACTCAAAGCAACATTTGGTCATTGCTGCACACACAATGAGCAACTGATTGTCACTCCCTGTGGGATGATCATTGCTCATTGAACATTTTTTGGGGCAGAGGGAGTTGCAAGTGTTGTTGTATGTGTTCAGCTCCAAGCCCTGACTTATAATTAACTTGTGCTACAGAAATTCATCAAGGAGGTCTATGCTAGCAAAGACTCATTCAGCAAGCCCAATCATATTTTCTTTGACAGCAACTGCACATTGGCAAAGATGGTAAAAATGAACTGTTTTTCAATAACATTAGACTGTCAGTTGACATGTTTCACTTCCAATGCAAGCATTCAGAAACAGATACCTTCTGTCAGGAAAATTGCAATCCTAGAGCCTTTCCTGAGCTCATTGCTGATGATGGAAATGGTTGGCACTTCAACTCCTCTATTGCAGAGCAAGCAAACAATTGGTTTGGAGACTACTACCCCATCTGTCATGAGATGATGGCCCACAAGTTCAACTTCTTTTGTGATGAGCTGATCCTGAGAAGGAACTGTTGGACAGAAGAAAAGTTGAGACAGGATGGGCAGGACCCTCATACATGGCTGTGCCATAGTCATACATAGAGTAACCTGATAAAGTGCAGTAATGATTAGAACTTGGTTACCTTTTCTTTTGATGCAGTGATCATGCTAATAAGGTCTTTGTCATTTCAGTGTTATATGACTGTTTCATTTGCTTCAAGACCTTTGATCAAGGCAAACAAGCTGTTACCACATAGTCCTTGTTTGATATAGTGATCATGAAATAAGATACATAGAAGTAGGGTACATCTGCAAGAGTAAAATGGATGGTACAGTATGACTAGTTATGAAGAGACACAAATCAAGGAAAATGTATGAAAAAGAAGTTGGACCTTACTTCAGAGGCTGCTATGACAGTCAAGTTTTCCTTGGGCTTAGATTTACTTACTTTACTTACCTTTACCTACTCCCACTTTCTTTAGCTTATGTTTGCATTTTTGCAGCTTATATAAGCATCACCTCTTACTTTCATTCATTACCTATAATCTGAGACTAGCAGTTTTATGATGATTCTTCTCCTCTCTGAGCTCTGCGTCTAGTACAGAAACCCTTGTGAGTTAAATAGTAGCTAGGTACTTTACCAAATATCTAGCCAAGTTGTGTTACTCACACTACTTTGCCTTCTTCATGAATGTGGACTAAGACCCCTTCTCTGTATGACCATACTCAATGAAGTACTCATGAAGCCCATGGTTAGCACTGAACTGCCAAACCTTTCAATTGTCATAGAAGGTTGAGGCTTTGAAAGGGACACCAAAATAACCAGTGAATATGTCTGTCACACTTCATTGACCCATAGCAGCTATCCTGCACATTACAAATCTATCAGCAATATTGACAACATAAAAGTCTGTTGGCCATATCTATATTGTTTTAAGACTTTCTCAACCTCAATAGCATTAGCTTGTGAGGTTCCACATGAAAGCAGGCTTCTGCTACTCTCCCTCTTCACAATTGGTACTGAGATGATAGATGGGGGAGAGTGAAATGAGCTTGATGATTCAGAGAGTGAATGATGATGCTACTTCAACTGATGCTTCACTGGATAGACAGTGTTAGTCACATTGTCATCATCACTGTCTATGAGGAACAATGCAGAGGAGTAATGGCACTTTGAAGTGAGATTTGGCTCATTGTTGTTGTCATTAGTAAGAGATAACACAGAGCCTCCATTGCAAGGACAGAAAGGGATATGAGGTACACAACCACCAGTTTTTAAAGCATGATTAATGGTAGGGACTCAACAAGTAGTAACAGAGGGTATGGTAGGGACTTGGTGAATATCTATGGCAGGATCTGTCAGTAGCAAGGATGGTACACATGAGCTATGTGTGAGATGTAGCATGCATATACTTGCATTTCTCAGCAAGACTAGTCATCATATTGGGGCTTCCTTGTTGAGTGAGCTGATGCAGATAGTGTTTTAGGTCTATACAGTCCTTTACATAAGCATCCTTCACAAGCAGGACACCATTGTCACATTCTTGCAGTGATACCATGTGGCTAAGATTGAAGCGGGTCCAGGTGCCCAGAAGATAGTTGTAGCGTTGGATGAGAAGAGTGGTTGTAGCAAGCACATTCATATCATGTGAGACCATGCCAAGTTTACAAAGTATGTCAAGGCTAAAGGAAAAGTTGGGTAACTTGAACCCATCCTGGAACTTGTATATGACAGGCTTGATGCTGTCCTAGTAAGACAATGTTAGCATGAGTCATAGGATACAGTAAACAAGATCTTACCTCATTCCAAGCATAGACAACAACAGTGTTCTTCTCTCACTGAGCAGCTTGAACACATTCAAGATCTTGCTAGTGCCTATCTTTCTGCAGCTCTTCCTCATGAGTGTTTTGCTGAGTAAATATTGCAAGCATCTGTGTGGTATATCAAGGGGTGGCTCATTTAACTTATAATGGGCCAGCAACAGTCTGGGAAGGACCAGCAAGATTGGGGTTAGGAAGTGAGAGAAGGACAGGGTTGATATTGGAATCATGAGACTCGAGAGCCTGGCCCTTGCCCTTGTTAACCTATAGAGGCTGGTCAAGACCAGGCTTGACATTGTCCTGAGTAGGGGCAAAGACAGGCTTAGTGATGACAGTAGGTGAGGGTAGCAGCAGTGCAGCAGGTTCTGAAGATGGATGAGGGCAAAGCTCCAGTGTGGGGTCCAGTTGTGCAGCTGCAGTATGGCCCTTTACCAAACAGCCACCTAGAAGGCCACAATGAGTGCAATATGTGTTATGCTCACAAAGGGAATGAGCATGTTTCTTGCAGATAAGAGCTGCACAGATCAACAGCACTGCAGTGCCTAATTGTGTAGGCTGAGAAACAGGGTTGAGTTGGGTTGCAGGAGGTCCAAAGTCCCCTGAGGGTAGCATGGGTGAGCCAGAAGGGCCTCATGGCCAGTGGAAGAAAGTACATTTAGCCTAGGTATCACTTGAGAATTTTCTGCACTACATTCAAACTTTAATTAAGAATAAAATCCAACTATCTTGAAAACACAGCTCACCATTGCCATCCAACAACCCTCATTTCCACATTCATTAGATTTGCAATGTATCCATGGGACTTCTTTGTGACAGTTGTCACAGGAATAAACAAATGTCAGTTTTGGTTGTGTGAGGTGAGCAGTAAGTGTAGCCTGCCAGGATAATGCACTGGCAGCTTCTGATGTGGGCAGATTCATGCTTGAAGAGGAGCCACAGTAGTCTTGGTGAGGTAAGGATCAATCCAGCAGGCACAAACAATACACTTACAAGTGTAATCTATAGAAACTGTTAAGGTCATGTGCTCAAGGGGGTCAGATCACAAGGGCTTGGCCTCAGCTCATACGCTGTGCCCCTTTCCCGAGTATGTGCCCTTAATTTCCAGGGGCTAGAACAGTCGTCCAGAGTTTCCAGGTTTTGACTAGGGCAGATAATGGATGTCCAGATCTGAAATGTGAGATAAATCCGACAGACGTCCGGATGTTACCTGGGCAAGTGGATAAGACTAATCTGGACGAAGTCCGGACTAGAAACTAACAGAGGATGGACTACCTTTAAGGTAGAGTTGGAAATGTAGTCTAGGATGCAATCCTAAGACTCGGAATATGACAAGAGACTTATCTCGAGTCTGGAGGACACAGGAATAAGCAGGAACTAAGATGATATTTGAACTGGAGTATTTCCAAGAGTTACAGGAGGTTTATATACTGTAGGTATCATATAGGAATCAGTCAGCAAACATAAAGGCTATGTACGAAGCATATGCAGAGTCTATTAGTAAGTAGGATGGATCACAAATAATGAACACTGGAAATGAAATGTATGTAACGGATCAATAATCAAAAGGAAAACATGGTTAACCGGAGTCCAGAGACAGGGGCAGTCTAAATGGGGTTGGGCGCTGATATAGGGTTTGGATTCCAGAAGGGAGATAAAGATAGATCAGATCATTTGAGATCTGGATCTTGGATCTGGATATCTGGAGAAGCGGATTTAGAGTTAAGAGTCCAGAATGGCATATGACAGAAACAATGTGTGCAATGAGAGTGTCATATCCACATATCCAGATCTCAGATCCGATCCACATCTTATCTCCAATCCTATCCACATCTTATCCCCCTCCAACATCTCATCATCCAATCTGTCCACTCATCCAGTCCAGTCCACAATTCATCTGAATCCACAACCAGCACTTGTCTCCTTTCAGTAATCCCCTAACTCCGGTATTTAGGTTATCTGTATATCCATCCTGCTCCCTGATCTGTTACCTATGCTTCATTTCCGTTTCATTATTTGTGATCTGTTTCTACTTACCAATAGACTATCCATATGCTTCATACATAGCCTCGGACTCTGCTGATTGATCATTCTGTTAGATACCTATAGTATATAACCTCCTGTAAATCTCTGTAATACCTCAGTTTGAATATCATCTTAGTTCTACTCATTCCTGTCCTCCAGACTTGAGTATCTCTACTCTTGTCACCCTCTGAGACTTAGGATTGATTCCTATAGTCTATCTGCATCTGCCTCTGTCTATGACAGCCACTGCTGCTAGTTTCTAGTCTGGACTCATCTGGATTAGCCCTACGATACTGATCCTGCATCCAGAAGTCATCTGGATCCACTATGCTACTCATCTGACCTTCCAGACATGTTAGTCTTGCCCTTCTGAAATAAGGGGCAATACTCAGGTAAGGGGCACAGCACATGAGCTGAGGCTGAAGCCCTTAGGATCCATTAGCCCTTGAGTACGAC